AAAATGCATTTCAGGAAAACTGCTACCACTGACTGCTGGAATCACACTCACCATGGAAACCCTAGCCCAAGGCTGCAGGAGCACTCAACCACACCCGACATTATAAACACAGTCCTGGCAAACGTTAAGCAGCACACACTCAAGATCTGCTGAACTGGTCAGACCAGTTACTTGTGATCGTTAGGGTAAGTGAGAGCATATTCTGTGGTAAACACTGCAATCCAAAGTGGAAAAGCTGCAATACAGCACAACTAATTTATTAAGCACAAGCACAAAATGATAGACTACTTTGTAATTTGTAAACCAGCAAAAGCTAAGACAAAGGCTTTAAAAAAATAAAATTAAAAAAATTGGTGTTTTACTCGAATGTTCAACAAAAGCCAATTAAAGCCTAATTACATCTGGGATATGTAATGCTTTAAGGCAACAGGGAGAACCACAACCTTTCAGATTCAAGACAAAATGCTGAACTAGTATCACCACCACCACAAATTCATTTGGGACAAACAGAGCACATGTTAAATACAACCAATCAGACCAGAGGGGGCACACACCCTGCCCTTACTCTTTAGAATTCAGAAGGGGGCTGATAAATCTCTGCATACAATGAATAGGCCTTCTTTACACATTACCAATGTTTTTCTGAAGGCTACCAACTCGCACACAAAAAGGAAATGCATGATTTGCATTTAATGCCCAACCCAACCAGTTATCCTGGGATGCGCATGACTTTTTATAATCTGGTAATTCAGAGCATTTCGGAAGGACTTCCTAAACCCAAAACAACGTGTGCAGCAATCAGCATTTGCAGAACTACACTACAAAACCCCATTGAAAACGAGGGGGAAAAAAATCCACTTGCACTTAAAGCACACAGCTCGTAATGGGACAAAGTTACAAGGAAATGCAACATTGAACAGAATTACAGGGCAAAAAAAGAAAAAAAAAAGGCATTCCAACAAGCTGTCAAGCAGCCCATCATTGGTAGGTAATGATTTACGACAACTCATCTACGCAAAGGCCCTCCCTCTCCCCAGATCCAACAGTCAGGTCTTCTTCCACAGCATTCTGAAGGTCAACCTGGGCTGCTATGTGAAACCAACACTTATCTCTGCCAAAGACAACCATGGAATGTGAGAACTGTGAAGGCGTTCGAAGACCGAAACTCATGCCCCAAAATCCTCAGAATGCTCTCGAGTTTAAAGCAGTAGTTACTATGGCAGAGAGCTACAGCTGGCATTTTGCCCCGTCCCCACGCAAAACAAACGTAACGATTACGATCCACAACTAAGGATGCAGGGCACACAAGTTCATAGCAACATCTTAAATGTTTTCGAATGAGAGACAAACCAAGATCTGGAAATGTCCTGGGAATGAAAGCCCTGAGAGAGACAAGCAGCTCAGGAAAATCTAGGAGCCATGGAGAAAGGAATGTACCAACAGCATTCTTGGCACACAGCCAGGCCAGCAAGTAATTAGTTTCCAAAGCAACAGTCATGTTCTTAGTCCAAGATTTAGGCAGAAGCAGCCTGGGAGGGGGGAATAATGTGACGCCACATAAATGACCTACTTTATCTGATAAGGGAAACTTAAAGGCACAGCGCTACGTTCAAAACTGCCAACATTGCCAGGTAAACAGGCTCATGGCATCCATAACCCATTAGCAATGGACTACCCAGGTACCCTAAACTGGACAGCAGACTGTACACCAACTCAGACACCGAGCCATCAAATGGCATAAATTCATACAATCAGAGAGAATACAACTTGCAACCCCACCTGAACACCAAGCATTAAGATCATAGAATTACACTAGATGACCCACAGAACAACCCTGAAGACTCGATAAAAGCATATAAACAGTATACCCCAGTAAAGAAATGTTTGTGTGGTTAGTATTAAGAAATCCTTTCAATCCTGTGGATTTACGTTAACAGAGTAAGACTGCCACACCAGAGCTGATCTTCAAATAAACTGGTTCTGCTAAGCCACCTACACTGATAACCCATAAGTCAACTGTATTAGTATTACAGCTAGTAGGACTAATGAGTTTAGGTACAGAATCCACTTTAAGGCTGGTGAGCCATCTAAGAGTTTAACAGTCACCACTAGCTGGGTAACACAGCCAATAAGAGCAGCACGCAATGAGATGATGTGCATCAAGGAGTACATGAGTGGCAATGTTTCACAACTCATTAAACCCCTAATTAAATACTTTGGGGGACTTCACATTAAATGCACCACATACATCCATAACTATACAAATCAAGTTTAAAAAAATTATTTAAAAAGTTAGTAAACAAAGTATTCCTGCTTCCTAACCGCTGTCATTTTCTAGATTAAATCATATCTGAAAAGCAACTACGTTTGAGCAAAGTGCTAGAACATAAACCAGGTGGATAGACCAATGCCATTGGTACACACCATGAAACAATACTGCAGTGCAAGATGGTTCCCAGCCAATACCCTCAAACGAATTGGTGCAGGGGCAAGCTACTACAAATACAACACCAGCAGGCATAGATACACTAAGCAGGCCAGAGGTTTCTCTAAATGTCACATGTTACTTGGGTTAGTGGTGGATCGATGGGGAACTTTTGGCTGATACCAAACAAACAATCGCTTGTCCAAAACCCAATAATTGGACAACCTCAGAGCTCCACAAATCTGTAGGGAAACTGACATCACAAACGTGACTTCCTGACATATTGTGAACGTGTGCAGCAACCACACTAATGTGGGCAGTAAGACAGTAAAGTAACTGGGAAGATTGTAGTGATGTTGTAAGTGGTGAACAAGATGACAGAATCACTCTTCCTCCACTACAGAAAATGGGTGATCACTCAAAGCAATCATCTCCACTAGTTTAGCAGTTGTCTTTAGCACATGTAGCACATGTGCTGCCTCCTTTGTATACTGGCTAAAGTCTAATTATCAGTCACCAGTACTGACCAAGACTAACACATAGGAAGGATGTCAATGTCTTGATTTTAAATGTCATGTGAAATGGTATCACATCAGTAACTGGGGGGGGGGGGTGTATGTGTGTGTATGCATATTTATATATGCTTGATATCAAAGGACAATACGTGTTCTGAAATTAATGACCCAAAAACTTCATAATTAAAAAGCTGCCAATCTATAGAACAGAAGACAGGCTACGATTTAAATAACAAACCATCCTTGTGCTACTTGTTCTTTGGATTGATAAACATACAATTCCAAGGCAGAAGACAGCAGAAAAATCAAGAGAAAGTGGTGCCTACCTTTGTACCAACTGTAATATCGTGGACACTGCTGTGAAGAGAAGAAAGGAATGTTAGAAAGCAGTAGAGATGAGAATTTAAAATCATAAGCTATATTTAAAGGTTAGAGGGTCATTGTCTGATAAGGGTGGAAAATAAAACGGATAACAGGTAAGGTGGGAGACAGCTGGTGAGACTTAGTGCTATGTAAAACACGCAAAGCATCAAAACTTTAATAAAAGGCTGAAGCACAACTTGTTTAAAGATGAGGGGACTAATCCAAAGAACCAGGTAAACTTCAGCTGAAGGATTAAGTAGCCCCTATATTTACTTTCAAGACAAAAGTTAGGACAGGGGCACATTATTTGCTGAAAAGGGAGCCCCTCCATAACACAGGATTCCCCATTTGAGTTGGCAGAATCAGTAACCTTAACAGCACCACATAAACACACCTGGCCAGTGGGAACACACCCGAGTGACTGCCATCCCTACAAAGAGGAGGTTCAACATGGCACTTTGTGCCAATCACCACTGTGATGTCATAAAAAAAACAATCAAGAACCTGGTACCTAATGTATCTTGCAAAATGGCCACAAGGTCAGTTTAATAACTTTTTTTTTTGTTCTGTTCAAACATCACAATGCAACAAGTAAAACCAGAACAACTTCTTGGGGGGAGGGGAGAAACCTGAAAGATGGCAGTCGCATGTTTTTTCCCCCCTTTTCTTCCCAGGGAGGCTAAAGTACACAGCAATTCCCTTCCTTTCCCACAGCCCTGCTCTGCTCCTGGAAATATGAGCAGTGTCTCAGAGTGCTTCCCTGCCCAACACTCATTACAGATTAAGCTCATATCCACATCCTGTTTCTCGTGGATCTCAGCAAAAAAAAGCCAGTCCTTCAGCTTCATAAATTGCCCAGGAGCAAGAGTGGCTCACCACTATTTACAGTTCCGGCACTGCAGTTAAGCATAAAAAGGTCCAAAGACAACTTCATAGAACATGGCGAGGGCACCTGGCTACAATGTTGGGAAGGATCAAAGGTCAGCGTCACACCAACAACCCCAATAAAATTACAGAATCAGTTCTGAAACACAGAAAACTGGTGGGGTGGGGGGTCTAAGGGGTTTTGTGAAAATAAACACTTAAGTTTGGTTACTTCATGAAGCTCAAGGTCTCCACATTTTGCACAAAAATGGCCACTTCTTGACATATTCCCACAAATAAGCCTCAACATGGGTAAGCATAGCAACTGTAGTGAGGCAAAAGCAGCACCACGATCTAATCTACACCCACGGGTGTTAAAGTCAAGCGATAAATACTACTAGGATTATCACGGCGTTGGCGATGAAAGTCAGTGTTCACTTCAACAAGTTTCGGAGACTCAAAATAAGGAATCACTGGTAGATCCGCCAATACCCGTATCCTACGAAGGGGTAGAATGGCAATCAAACGCAGAAAGAGAGTACATGCTGCTTTGTTTCCTGCGAAAACGACTCCTGACCGAAAGCTTAGGAATGCCGGAAGAGACGCCGATTAACTAGTAATCCACACCCAACTAAACAAGCGAGTGGATCTAAAAAAAGCTGGCCAGCAACTAACCACGCTCCCTCGATCTGAAACATCACAGCTTAATAAGAAAAAACACTTACTCAAGTTCAGTGGTGTAGCTGGATCCCAGAGGATACAAATCAGTCTCTAAACGGCTATTGGAAACAAGGAGGTGAGTTCCATGTAAAAGTGCATGACAAAGTGAAATCCTTGCAGCAGATCAACACATCCACTCAATCAATAATGGCAGCAGTGCTTTACTTAACAGCTCAACCAAGCATTTACACGCTTCCTTGACATCTTACCACAAAATAAAAGCAGACCTGAAACCAGTGCGACATTCTTACATCCATGCCAGGGTACCCTACATCGGGGTAATCGCATCGCCCTCCTTCAATGAATCTAACTCCGGTAACGAAACGCGGCCCTCCATGTACCTGAAGTTGGCGGACACTTTGAAATGTCCGCCCCTGACCGGTGAAAGCACGGCTAACCTTAACTAAGTCACCCACACGTTACCTGTAACCGAAGGCTGCGCTCTTCCCGATCGCCCGGTGATCCGGACTAGACGGGGCGGCTACCGAGGTACGTATCGAGTTACAACTCCGCGTGAAATTTTTTTTTTACCTTAATCAGATGGACATCATTAAAAGCGAAAGCCAAGACTGGAAAAAGGTCACTATCTAATAAGTTTATACCCGACACGGAAGTCAGAACCTCTTTATTCACCATTTACACGATTTAGCCATGAGAAAATTGTAATACCAAGAGCTGGTCGTTCACATTTTACATATATGAAGTCGTAAAACCGCCGAAATCCCTTCTAATTCAAGTAACTAGCTTACTAATTGGGCAAATCCGGACGCAGTACCTCCATGCGTTAGCGAGGAGCAGCTAGTTATCGAGGTAACCGCAGAGTAAGGAAATCAAAGTTTGAAAAAACAGCTACAGGTGGTCGCGCTGCCCTCAAACCTCCGCCAAATCATCACATACACGGCTACCGTACATGAAGCCTTAAAATAAAGTAATAAAACCTGGCTAACTAGTCACTACCCATCGTTAAGCCAGCGGAACGCACTTCGCTAAAATGTTCCTAACTCCAAGTTTCCATCGCAACGTAGTTAGCGCGGTAGCGACCTACTGACGGCTGCCTAATACTCTCGGTAAAGGAAAAAAGAAACTCGTTACATTTATTAACAAGTTATTTTCTAGCGTGATTACGACTAACTTGGTTATCGTTTAAAACATGATTAATTTCCTCATAATTTCTTACCCGTCCATTGCACAATACAGAACTACAGGTCAGAGCAACGGGACAACAGCTTGGCTGACTTTTCTTATACCCCCACAAAATGGCGGAATACGCCAAGTCGCTCTCTGATTAGCCCGACGAACGGGGGGAAACGAAAAAGGGGCGGGAGCTGAGTGTCGGGGACACAGCCGGTTGGACAAGATGGCGTCCACTCGCAAAACCACGTCGGAAAAGTTGTGCGTGAACCTTTATTGGCCACAGTGGCCGTCGGTCATTTATTCTGCTTCCCTGTTAAAGGCGCTGATTGGACCATGCGCCATTCAATCGACTCTGGGCGGTTCTTATATGTAAGTTTTACTGCCAAAATTTCAAGAGAAAGAACGTGACTAGCAATTAAAAAATGTAAGAAATGGGTGTGTCTTTAGTTTAGCAATGTATCATGTGAACTAACTTAAAAAGGTGTTCCCTTGACGTTAAAGACGACAGATCCTCTATTAACTACTATTGCCCTGATTTAACATATGTTTGAACTATTCTAGCCTCCTGTAAGTACAGTAATTACTAGAAATTTTATAGGTGAAATACGAAGTTTCATTTCTACACATTTTCGGAATTTGTTTTCCGATTACATCAAAGATAAAATTGAGAAGTGTACTTCTTTCCCTTTTATTTACATCGTTACAACCAAGTGTATTTTTGCTTTAAAACCTCAGAACTTTGTGTCTTTTTTTCTAGTGCTCTCAAAATGTCTTCAAACTTTCAGTTCAAAGGCCATATGCCTTATAGGAGTGTCTCAACCAGCCTACTCTGTAACTCTGGAACCCTTGAAAAGAAAGGCGATACCGTAGTACCGTTCAGCTATAAATATTTCAAAAGGTGCAGTTTCCAGACTAAATTATTGGATATAGCAACACCATACCATACTTCACCATTCTTCGATAGCAAGTTCACTCCCAGCGAGCAGTATAACTATTCTGCTTTTTCCTTCTTCTAAATAATGTACTGTGATATTCATGTCTCCTCACAATTTCTTGTCATTCAAAATCCTATAAGACACTGTGAATAAGAAAGTCTGCTAAAAATAAAATTACACTGCTTTGTGGATCCATATACATTATGAATCCCAGAGGAAGTTCTGCTGATGTCTGCAGTGCATTGAACCAGTGCTATGTGTAACACAAATATACATATTTTGAAGTATCTTTATATGAAAACATATCTTGTGTTATAGTTTTTTTAAGCTTTCCACAAGCTTCCTTCATTACATGAATAAGCTAAGCATTTTATATAACTTAAATAAACCATAATGTAAATGTGGTACATTACAAATGATCCTTAAGAGTTTATTTAATATTAAATTGTTAATATAAACAAAATATACTTCGTATATTGTGATCAAATGAAACACGAGAGGGCAACTTTATGCTGCTGCTTCCTTTGAACTCACTCAAGAAGTAGAGCCTTGTTTAGCATTTGTAATATATCGGAAAATTCCTTACAGACGATAACAAGGAAGACTGACACCAGGCAGGGAAGTGAGGAGCTGCTGGGATTTTTAAAAAACCTTTTAAGGGCTTTGTGGTGTCAAACTCTGCCTGTCGTCGACACAGTTTCCTGATCAGATCCACTTCTGGCTGGATTGCTGTCGATTAGATTTCAGCCTCGGCGAGCATCAAAGACTCAGCTCCCTTTGATGTTTGAAAGCTTCTGGAAAATGCTTAGTGTGGGATGTATGTTCCATAGACAGCGAGCAATGGGCTAGGAAGCGTGTGATAAAAGCAGGCCGAACTGAGGGGCATTCTCTGACAAACAGCATGCTTTTCTTACAAAAAAATATCATAATCCAAGTGTTGGATATTACTGATTAACATCAATGATTTTAGCAAAATAATGCCAGCAGTTTCAGGTCTTCCTGAGATGGGCACTAAAAGGAAAACGCTCAGGATTGCTAAACAACATGTGTGTACCTACAAGGAAGTCATCATGTTACCGTGGTGACCGGAGCTCAAATGTTGAGAAGTCACCTCCATCATGCCTTTGTTTAGTGGAATAATTTAAGAGAAACTGGATACAGTTCTTCATAGTTCTGAAATGAAATGAACTGTGCCAACACTATATTCCATTCACGTCTGAATCCTTGAACACTTGTTGAATGTACCTGCATATTTTGTTTTCTGTGATGAATAGCACAGAAGCATCAAGAACACATTGTGTCTGCTGTCTGTTGATAAATATCAGGTGGTCCAAAGGACTGTATTTTCCTCCTTGCAACAGTTTTCTCATTACACATTTGTAGTCTAATTTTATGATTTTTTGCATAATTCTTTTTTCAGCTTCTGCAAATTTTTTGCATAAAACTCTCTTCTACAGCTTTCAGCAACAATGAACTGTTATCTGTGTGTTGCAGACAGGATGTGTGCCAGAAGGAACAGAAACCAACAGTATCTGCTCTGGTTTGTATTCAAAATTGTTTTGCTGAAAAGAGGAAATGCCTAATAATCAGTGCTTTTAAAAAAGTGTGTTATATTTTTTTGCGTACTTACACATCATAGTTGATTTCATGTCAATGTATTGTTGGTAGAACCAGTACTACGGAAAACATTCTTCCTGGTGTTTAAATCCCACATTTGAGTTCTTGGGTAAGCTTAGCTTTTGGCCCTTAACTGTCCTTTACAAGCAGCCCAGTATATATCGGATAACAGCATCAATAATTACTTCACTAGCTTGCTTTCAGGAAATTACTTTTCCATGTGGGTGCAGGTGACACACCTGCTTGGAGATAAATAATTGAAAGGGTCCCTTGGAGACGGGAGCGAGCCCATTGTCTCCAAGGTAGCAGGCTATTCAGCGCATTCTCAAATAACTGCTGGGAACAACAGATGACTGTAGCATTACCAAAATGTTGTTAGTAAATAAAGAAGACAAGAATTTATACAAGCTGAGTCACCTTTTCTATGAATTTAAATTGACTTTAAAAACTTTAATCTTCCTTTAATTTTAATAATTGGATTAATTTTTCCTACCAACAGACCAAAATGACATTACATATAAAATTATTTGCTGCTTCAACTTAATAAATATTGCCTGTATATCTATTACTGGTTAACGGTATTAATTGCAAAATGAAACATAAGCCTAAAATTACAGAAACCATTTATTTAATTATAGGTTTTCATAAGCATAGAGAGAAATCAAGAAACAAGTATAGCCAAGCGCTATAGGCCTGTTTAAATAAAATTACTTTTGTTTGCTTTTTATTCTACTTCAATTTACGACCATATAATCTTTACCTTCAAGTTGATGTTTAGTTATTTTCAACATTTAGACACATTTTCAAACGGCATATCAACATTCTGTACCCTATGGCTGAATATATAGTGATCTATTCCGAACGGTGCTTAATGTGTTTTTTTTTTCTCATTCTTGTGTGTCCTGTAACTAAGAATTATTTAAAGAGACGACTTATAGGAAATTACTGGCTAGCTCTAACCAGACAATTACAACACAGCACAAAGTGTCTAACCAACTGTTTCGGTGTGCAGTAGTTTAGTAGGTTGTGCGCCCCCGTGTGGAGAAAAAATATTTGCAGCTTTATAACTTCGTGACGATTCGCCGACTGGGTGATAATAATTAAAAAAAATGAAAAAGCATGATATTAGTTAAATAAATTTACACAGTCCTTTAAATCTAATATGAAGTAAGTTATAGCCTACTTTAAAGTCTACCAATAACTGCAATGAAGGGAACCGTACTGTTGCGTCTCAGAAGACTAAGCCAGCCGCAGACGTCAAACTCAGTATTCAAAAGGGTGCCGTAATGAACGTTCAAAATAATCACGTACCGTAATTATTTTACATTTTTCATTTAACGTAACGCAATTAATTTAACTTTCTCAAGGCAGCGGACTCTTTCAAGGCAGTAGCGTTTTCACTTTCTGTTCCGTCCTCTTATTTGTTATTCTTATAGTGTTGTCTCAGGAGCGATAACAGGAAATAACACTTCTGCATGTTCTTTCAAAATCAACATTCCCGAATTATATAGGTGGCGAATTATAAGGATGGGTAATTCTGAGCTGTAAATCATATAGCCGATATTGAGACTCTTTTACACGATTGCTTGCTTTTTTAAAATTTATTTAATTCAAAGGGGATGCGTGCAAGGTAAATAGAACAATCGACTAAGGCTATATTCATGTATGTATACAGATTCAGATTTCAAATAAATTTATGTTTTAAAACGACACGATAGTTATTATTTTCAATTGACTTATCTTACTTCCTGATTGTTTATTTGGCGTTTTATGTATTTTGCGCAGAGGACTCATGCGCCTGATCAAGAACCTTTGCGTTCATTCCCGATAATACGTAAATAACGGCGACCATGGATTCACACATCACGATGGTCACAAAATATTGTGAAACACCTGTACATAGTTTCTTTCTGTCGTGATGAATACCCAAGGACATTTTCCTTTTATACACCAGCACTTTATTAAACCAGATACTGCATGGTTATCCGAACTATAACAGCTAGGGGTAAAAACGGGAGTTAAAGTGTGTTCAGAAAAAAGCAAAATACAGTGGTACCTCAGAACTCGAACTTAATCCGTTCAGAACTCCGGATCGAATCCTAAATAGTTCCAGTTATGATCGAATTTTCCCCATAAGAAATAATGGAAAACCAATTAATTCTTTCCCGGTCCCAAAAAATTACACCTAAATATATTTTTTATCATTTAAACACAAAATGAACCGGATAAAACAAGAACAGCATATACTGTACTTAACACATCTAAGCACATTTATCAAAACAGCAATTTGTAAAGTAAGAAAATAAATGTATCCAAACAATGTGTAAAGTTAAAAAACATTCAGCTAGTGTAAACATGCACGATGCTATCATAGCAAATTAGAATTTAGTGATCAGTGGTCATTGTCAACACACCACAGCACACAGTGCGCAACAACGAAATGTGTCCTCTGCATTTGACCCATATGTGACTTTCGTGACATAGCAGGGGGCAGCTAATTCAGCGCCCGGGGAGCAGTGATTGGGGACGGTACCTTGCTCAGGGTACCTCAGTGGTGACTTGCTGGTGGTGAAATGCAAGGCTGAGACTGAAGCGTTACCCTTCGTTTCCGCTGAGAGATCCTGCGCATACAAATTATCTTAGGTCGGCGTTCACGGTTTGACTTCTGAGATTCAGATCGAGCTCTAGGTAATTTTTTTCTAACTGGCTGGTTCGACTTTTAAGAAATTCGAGTTCTAATGAGTTTGAGAACTGAGGTACCACTGTATATATTTGGGTCATTTTCAGTATAGGGTGTCTTTGGAACCTCGTAAAAGACATGTGTACCCTGTCAGGGGAAAGATGGGATAAGCATCCTGTTAGGGAAAGAAATACAATAAAGTGGACAATGACAGAGTGGACATTTTTAGCTAAAATGAACATTTGGTGAAAAAAATGATTAACCTACAGTTAGCAAAGTTCACAATTGTTCAAGTTGGCATTGTGTTTTCAAAACATATTCCTTCTCTGCCTTGTGCCTGTGGCTTCCAGGATAGGTTCTATACAAGCCTGCATATGACAAGTGGGTATAGAAGATGGATGGAGGGATGAATGGATGGAGGAGTTGATTGCAATGGATTGATGATGGAATTGGATATTCAATCATGACAGGGTGGGCATGTTAAGCTTGATCACAGCCAACTTCATACAAAATAAGGATTATGCATTAGGGAAAATATATATATAAATACTTACTGAGCATGCAGAAGTTGTGCGCACTCCATCAAGGGCAGGGCAACAAAAGGTCAGTCTCTGAAAGTGTCAGCTACCCATATATGAATTAGTGGACAGCAATTCCAAGAATACACTTAAAATGTTTAAAATTACGATGACAAATGCAACTAAGTTATCAAAAGACTTGAATTATGAAAAAAATTGTTTATACAGTATATTAAAGAAAATTTGTAGTTTCTTCTACATTTCTCTCATTTAATCATTTAAAATACATATTGAAGATAACCATGCAGTCCTGGGGACATGTGAAAATCTTCTACATCTCATCAAACGAAATGTATAAAATGCATTTTACAACAAATGTTAATATATCGGCATATTCATAATTGTTTACCCATCCAGAATGATCCTTGAAAAATATTGCAATATTTGTATGAATTTTGTATCACTATACTGAGGTCACAAAATGCACTCTATGCTGAGAATAGCCCATTTATGAATATGGGAACACAAGTATCTTTTCGATAACTATGTGCTGAAATTACTGATTTGTTTTAGTCATAAATAAAATGCAGCATTTCTCTTCACTGAGAATGGGTATATTCCATTTAACCTTGTGTTTGCTGTTACGGAGTCAGAGGTTCCCAAACAGTTAGTTTCATTTGCTTTGAGTAGATTGACTGGTAAGATAAGGTAAGATGACTTTTATTGCATGTAAAGTGCAAACAATCAAACATATAGTGCGAAATGAGACAGAGTGCAAAGACAGTACACATTATGCAGACATTAAATGTTGTGCAAACAAATTTAAAAAGTAAACAATAATTTGCACCAAAACTGCATCGTCAGGCGGCTCCATGAAGCCAACCATGCCGAGATATGGTCCTTCACCACAGTGACAGCTCCAACTGCGGTGGAGGAGCCAGGCAGGAACCAAAGAATAAGCACGTGATGGAAGCGAGAGCATGGAATGAAGGAAGACATGAATGTGGCCCTCAGCTGGTAGAGATGTTAGTCTATTGGCTCCAGATGGAGCTGAGCAAGATGTCTCAACTGTGGATAATCCTCCTGATTCTGGGGTCTTTTTCAAAGGATATCGGGGTCTTTTTTTTTTGTCAGACTTCGAGGGTTTTTCCAGCATCGTCAGTCCTGCAAACAAGATGCCCAGCACTGCCTATAGTCCCGGAAACAAACATGTTCAAGAAAAGTTGTCAAAAAGTAGGCTAGAAGCTAGAAGTGCGTGTTTGAGATGTCGTCACGGTGATTTCCTGGCTGAACCTTGCTTTGTAATCTTTAAGGCACTTATTCCTTTCATCTTTCAGTCAGTGTTTCAGAACTTGTTCTAACACTAATATGCAAATTAAAAGAAACTACAACAGTACAAAGAAACATCCATATTCAGCCTCGTCATGGTTGTTCATTAATTCAAATAAAACTTCTTATAATACTTTTGGAGAATTGAGCATAGCTTCACTGAAATACAGGTAAAAGAAATGAAAACCTTAATGAAATGTTGTTTCAAACATTGATTCTCTTTAACGGTGTGCTTCCAGGCGAGATGTTCTTCAGACATTTAGCCCTCTGCAGTATTTATGCTGTGGTAGGAATGGTCAACATCCAGAATTGCCACATAGCCATGCCTGATACCTCTCCAGTTTAGGTAACTGTTGAAGACAATGAAATAGGGGAACTGATAAATAGAACCAATTATTTTTTCAGTATTTCGGTAAAATATTTAATCTTATTCAGAACAAATTTTCAAAACTCACTCTATCAATTTTGTTGTTTTTGAGATGAGACCGCCAATGACCTAAAGTCAGGCTTCCTCATGATGTGTAACAGTGTTGGGAACCAAAATTCACTCAGTCCTCATGTAATCCAATGAAGAATTTTCAATTGGACTGAGTAAATCCCATGGACTGAGTGAATTTTGGAAATTTGCAATTAGAGGACTAAGACAAGCCATGTGAATTTTCGAGAAAGCTAAGCATTTTGTGCAAAATTAAATGACCCCCAAATATTTGATGTGAATATGATTTGTCATACGGTACACAGAGGTACAGAGTTCGGCTTCCGTTTTTGCAGAAACACTCACAGAATTGGAATGACACTGAGGTAGCTGATGGTGCTGGAGATAAGGAAGCAGAGTCCAGGGTACCAGCTCAGAGTTCGAGGGTAAACAGAGCTGAAGAAGACGGTGGACAGGACCTCAGTGACAGCCAGGGCAGACTGCAGCAGACCGAACACGCGTCCTGGGCAGAAACACACGGACACACATAGTGAACCATGTGGTGTTAATGGACCTACAGAGGAAAGCTGTGTGACACAGGGGGTACATTAACACCCCCCCAACCCCGGAAGAATGAGGTAACAGTGTTATCAGCCTTTTCAAGTATTAATTCAGTCATTTTCATGCCCACCACCATCTTGATGGAGTCATTGAGTAAATCAGGGGTATCAGATGCATTTCAGTCGATGGGTCATACATATGTTGTAGAAATTTCAGCTGGAGATTTGGTTTATATATGAACTGAATATTTTTTTCTACTTGGACTAACAGGCTATGGTAATTCAGCTCTGCATACAATGTCTAATTCACCCCCACACTGTCAGAACAGGGTAGACACACACGTTAACAGGTGTCGAGGCAGTGAGCACAGCTGATTTTTCAGGGCAATTTTAGGGCCTTCGGGAAGAGTCAGATTGCTGCATAATTCAGTGAGACTATTGTCTAAAACTTCCCATTTTGCTATGTCATGGTTGGGAAAGATAGGGGAACAAAGCAGGGTTTCATCTTAGCACGTAAACAGGGTTATATATCACAGCCGCATACCTTTAGCACAACCTAGTGTGGGTGCAGGCAAAGACGACTCTAATAAAAGCAGTTTATGGCTCTGATACCCTTATCTTACAGCTGATCAAGAACACTGAAGACCTGGTACAGGTGTTTTGGGAGCTGGGAGGGAGCAAAAATTTGGAATGTCTGGGGGTCCCCGAAGACTGGTTTGGGAAACACTGACTTATAGCACTGGAATTACATCAAGCAGAGTCTCCACATTTAGCTGTGCTAACTAATATCCCTTGGTTTCTGTTTTTCATCCATAATGAACTGAATCGAGTCTGAAGGTGGACAATACATGTGGAGCAATAACAAACATCTGTCCTGTGAATTGTCTTTTGGTGCTTAGAGGCAGGGGCGTTGCTAGAGATTTTGGGCCCCATGAAAGCATATCATATTAGGCCCCCCCAGTCCAAACCAATCCAGTTATTTTCCTAATTTTTTAGGGCCCCTGTCACTCAGGGGCCCTTGGAATCGTCCTAGCTTTCCTCCCCCTTACGGCGCCCCTGCTTAGAGGATATTAGAAGTTAGGCTACAAAATGAATGAACAATGGGGTTTAACAAAATCTGACTACGGCTAACAAACTGCTACGCTTTCAGTAAACAGAGCTCCACCTACCTGTGATCTGAGGTAGCTCTATAGTTGCAGTTCAGCACAGTCTATGTAGTTAATTACCATATAGTAATTCACCAAGTACCAATCCAGTTAAATATACATTCCATTGTATGTAAAGGCACAATGGAAAAAGATGTAACACCTGCCATTGATTGAATTATAAGTGATATCACTGACTCATTGATCTGCCTTCTAATTTCTAATGATATTAAAAACTGAATCCTGCCACGTTGTTCTGATAAAACTTTGGCAGAAATGTCCTCTGTGGCATTGCTTTCATCTGTTCTCTGGATTCTGGCTGCCCTTCTTATTTAAAGTTGTTCTTTGTGTCACCTCTCTGATCGTTGTCGATTGTTGATACCTACTCACCGTACATCTGAGAATCCATGATTTTGGAGAGTTGGGCTCTAATCGTCGGCATGGGAATGCAGGCAAACATCATCACTGCACGCGCTACAGGCACAGAGGTAAGACTGTCAGGAGGTGAAACACTTAGAAAAGCAATATTGTAAAGTTCAGTGGATGGATTCACTGGATACAAATGGACAGCACTATAATAAAGCCAAAAAACCTGCTTATGCCTTCTTGAACAGGGTAACAGTGCATGCAGATGATTTTTAAAATATTCTAAATGTTGTCCTCACTAGTATGACGATTTGTTGAGCAAATGCCAAGTTAACCAACCCTCTTTCCACCCCCATAGTGGTATCTCACTGTCTCCATCCTGCCTGTTTGTTTTTCAATTAGATAGTGTTTCATTAGTCAGGATTTTCAAAGTGTGTATGTAAGAAAGGGCGTAGGTTTAGTTTCAACTTTGTTAGGGACCAAATCAGCTCCAAATCAATCGGAACATACATATTCCTGCCATCCATACCCAAATCTACGCCCTTGGTTGTAAGAATGACCCACCGAAGAAATAGATCCAACTGCGAGTGGCAAAGGCCAATATGGCCATCCCAGTGCAGTTGGACACGACGCCCAGCAGGATGAGCGCCATGTCCCCTAGAGGGCGGGACAGCAGCAGCACGCCCAGGAAGCTGCTGAGGTACATGGCGCTGGTGGCGGCCCTGCCGTAGCCCGTCCACACCGAGTCCCAGCTGAGGGGCGGCTTCAGCACGAAGAGGCACAGCACGCCCTCTGCCCCGGTCATGCCCAGGAAGAACAGTATCATGGCTGAGAAGAGCAGGGCCACGGCACCGCGGTCGTATGGGGCCGCCTTTTGGGGCCCGGAGTGGCCCCCAGGGACGGACGGGCTGGGGTACGACAGCAGAAAGGCAGAGTAGAGGAGTCCGAGGGTGCAGAGCGCCAGGCTGGTGAGAATCAGGGCCACGCCGGACTGGCCGACCCGATACACATAGCCGGAGAGCAGCCCCCCCAGCACGCCGGCCACCCCACTGCAAAAGTCCACAACGTTCAGCTTGAGGCTGCGGCGGCCCTCCTCCGAGCTGAGGGCGGCCAGGGACACCACCCCCCCCCAGTAGCCCGGAGATCCGCCGCTCAGGCCGTACACGGCAGACCCTGCATAGAGAACCGCCAGGGGCAGCCGGAAGAGCATGAAGAAGAGCAGGAAAATCTTGGCCAAGACGGAGCCGATCTGCGGCACCACCAGCAGCACGCGGGGGCCGAGGCGGTCGGAGAGGTGTCCCAGGAGCAAGGTGGACATGAGGGACAGCAAGGAGGCCAGAATTTGGTGGATCAGGAAGAAATGGGTGGAGAGTGCCTGGGCGCGGTCGCTCTGCCCCTCTGCCTGCTCCAGGGTGCGGTTATAAACGGCCAGCGTCAGGGCCGTGTCAAAGAAAGAGGTCCCCACTGTGTTTATCACCACAACGGGCTCCACCAAGGCCCAGGAAAGCCCCATTGCTCTCCCTGCAAATGGAGAAGAAGTTACGGCTTGTTATACTTATATAAAGTTTAATCACCACTTTACTGTCAGGCTCATTTCACAGTATAATGTTTGAGTGGCTTAGCTCACCACACAGAAGGCTATACAGATTGTTTGCACAAAACAGGCCATATTTACACATATACATCAAGACATGGGTGTCTTTAGGTCCGATCACTCGGGGCTACACCCCCAGGAATTATAGCCCTGATGCCATTTTCTTTAAAAAAAAAGTCAAGGCCCAGGTAAACTTGACTTACCCCCTGATCTTTTCAATAGCTAGAAACTGCCCTGCGTCGAGACGTCTAACATCATATAGAGACGTCCATATTCACACATATACGTCTTTACAAACATCATCCTTCGTGCTGGTTTACGGTACAACGGAGTTCTTCATTGTAGTAAATCGCGACATACATACCCCAGCGACGGATTCCTCCTGCGTTATGCCCCAGTGTGAGTGAACATGACGGATCGCTCATCTCTGCTCTGGAAACCTGAGACTAATCACGACATCCTCGTTCGGTGTGTACCGGAGCAAAAAGGGAAGAAGGTGGCAACATGGAGAAGTTGGTATAAAGCAAAGTGAAAGTGATAAAAGAGAAGAAACGGTATCAATGCCAAGGAGTCATGGAGACGAGAATCGATGCCACGGACCTGTGGACACATGCAGCGTTACAAACCGATAAAAGCTCGGATTCGGAACTCGCACACTCTTAGATGAAATATCTCTACTTTCATATTCTGTTCACCGTTACTTGCCCCGTTTTAGTGACTTTCCCTGCTGAAATACTCATCACACCATGAACTCTATATCTCCAGGTGACTTTTGACTGTGAACATTTTGTACATTATTAACAGTGAAAAAAATCCTGCTTTATCTGCCATGGCTTGAAAAGGTTTTATTGCAGACAGAAGAGTTTCAAAAGTTTTATTTATTCAAACTCATGTATCATAATCTTATCCACTATAAATATCAACAATAATGCATTTAGTACATCAAGGCACTATATATACATTCAAAATAATTTAAAATAAATTATGCAACTATGCATGTCATTATATTACCTTGTAATTAAAACGCAGGGCTCATTGCATAAAAGATAAAGTTTGTAGAAAAAAACTATTATACTGATTGAATAAGAAAAAATAATGGATTGTTCAATCAAGAATCTAAACGTTATACTATTTCACCATACCTTCAATAAAAAATCTATACTGTACAGGTTATTAAAAGAAAAATCTAAACACCACATTTAAAACTTTGTCATAATGTAGCAAAACACCATTAAAACACATCAGAAATTACATAAAATATTGATGTCAAAAGATACCTTTCACACTATATATTCATTAGCCTGTCCGAAATAAGGAAATAAATCCTCTCTTTTATAATTTAAGAGTCCAGTTGTATTCAAAATTAACAGTATCATTTTTGGTTAATGTGAGTTGAAACTGAAGTTACAAAAAGAGTTGTATAACAAAAATATGTTGTTTTTATGTAGTCTTGCTGTGTATCTTTAGTATGCAGACTCTCATACTCGTATTAAATAATATATATCAGCACTAATGCTTCAGTGTCAAAGTAATTGAGAGTGAAAGTATTAAGTGCATATTCCAAGTCCTATAAATCCCTTTAAAAGATGTCACAAGATTAACGCCACAAGCTACAACTAAGCACATTTTAAATACATTACCTAGACACAGTATGTTATTAATGGGTGTGCTTATCTGGTATACAGTAACTGTGCTTACAGTAAGCCAAAGGCAGGTGGGGTAGCTATGACTCACTTCCGGATTCAAATTTTTCATTAATTTAATTAATTCTGTTTCCTTAATTTAATTTTTCTGTACCTCCCTACAGTAAACGATATTCTACATTCGCAGTATTTTTGTCATTCTACTATTTTTCCTTAACGTAGCTTATTCCCTTCACTACCATATGTTGATTAGCCTTCTTTGGAATTGCAATAGCGAAATCTGTTTAATTAGCCAAAATGTGCTCATATTAATTTTCCTCTGATCAAATGATCATATCCTGGTTCTACTTTCTCTTTTGTAATAAGAGCAGACAGCTGCTGCTCGTGTTGGGCTAATCTCACAGCTATTCTGCTCTTACTAGCTCCTTGCTCTGTAAGAAGTTGTTGTGTAGCTCCTGCTTCAATACTGCTCACACTCATACCTGGGTACTGGAAGCTCAGCCTAGCTGCACTTATGCCTATTCAACTGCAAGACAGCATGTTTGTAATGTACTATTTGCCCGACTTGATCGGACTTTGGACTTAGGTCTGCTAAATATGTAAAATATAAATGTAAAATGAACATGTACACAATGACTTTAGCAGTAGTTATGTAGTAATGGAGAAGGGGGGAGAATTTTTAACTATTTATTTTTGTTAACTTTCTGTAGCTGAAATAAAACCTCATGAAAACCCTCAGTGCAGTAGGGGCTGATGAATAGACTGGGGGGGGGGCACTCACAGAGGGCCTTTAGTCGACAGTGCGCACGTCTGTGGGAGGGGGGAATGCAAGAGGAAGTTGGGAGTGGAAAGGAAATATTCCCTTGGAGAGTCCCGGAGAAGGGGCTGGTGGAGAACAACGCCCTTCTCTCTCTTGGCAGAGGACTCAGTCGCAGTCTTTGTTGGCGAACACTCCTGCTTCCCACCGGAGGGCGCGCGTGTTTTTATGCCGGGTAACTCGAGTAGCCTCCAGGACCTTCAAGGGGAGAGCCAGACATGACAGCAGAGGTGAACCTCACATCTCGTCCTTTCACAGCCAGATCATAGGGATGCACAGCCTGGCTGTAGTGACTGGACGGAATGCAGGCTGATTTTTATAAATCTAAGGAAGCCTCACTAGGTCTTTACGTATTGCAGGTTACAATGAATAGTTACCTCACTATTTACATCATCAGTTGGATGGATTCCAGCGTACTGCAAGACAAAGAAGATGTATAGTCAGGAGTTTCCAACCATGCTTCATCATCCGGTGAATCTTTATCAGTGCATTATTTACATGGATGTTTTTATTTGCATTGTATCTTTTTAGCTGAGTGTTTTATCCAAAGAAATGTAAAACTGTGAAGGTAGGATCAGCCAGTTGCTCTGCCCACCACAGAGATTTGAACTGGAGATGGATAATTCAGGTCCAGAAAGTAAAAATCCAGACCAAGATTTTGTTTCAGCCAACTGGTTGAGTACTCTGTGACTGTGACTCTTTATAGTGAAGTGTATGGTTGAAACAAAATCTTGGTCTGGATTTTTGATTTTCTGGACCTGGACTAACCACCTCTGCTTTCTGATCACAGGCATGGAATCCTAATCCTCTGGGCCACACATTACCCTCATTTTCAAGCTGCTGACAGGGAGTAAAACAGGGGAAAAAGGTGTCACCTCTGTAGGCCCTGGAGCTGTAAGGTTGTTCACATCACCAGCTCCCCCACACCTCTACTCTCAGCATATATACATCAGAACTGCAGCACCCACTGTCAGATGTGCGTGGGTGGGGAGTATGAAAAAGGTGTCATTTCCTCATAGAATGTTTTGTCAGTCGATACGTCACAGGGTACAGAAATAGATGTGGATAGCTAGTGTGAAACTGAAGTAAAAATATAATGTGTAAAAGACCGCTGTCCCTGTACAGCAGTGTTTCTCATTCTATTCTTCAAGGACCCACAGACAGTCCCCATTTTGGACTGGGAAACACTGCTGTACAGGACAGAGCAAAGCCCCCCTTTTCCACTAACCACGCTCTCCTCCAGCTTCAGCCTGGGGCTCCTGTCTTCCATGTCCCCCAGCAGGGTTTCGGTCAGGCCCTTCTGTGCGACTGCGCCACCTGCCCCGGACCTCATTGTCTGCGGCTTCTGGGCGTGGACTCTGGCCGGGCTGGGTGAGTCTTGCCAAGAGGAGCTCCAGGGTTGGGCCGTCACGACAGGGATGGAGGGGAAGCTGGGGACTGATGGGGGGGGCAGGGCGGAGCTAGCTGTAACCGAGAGACAACGAAGACAAAAACATTGTTTTGCGTCACTGTGTCACATGGCCAAGATGTTCAGTATAATATAAAATACAATATATTAAACTGTATTGTCTTCTACCATATTGTAGTCTTTTGAACTTCTGTAATTTTATAGCTTTAGGGAATTGATATTAATCTGCATTATAATATGAAACAGAAAAACAGATATCCCTATGCCTGGTAGTTTTGTGAAGCAGCGACTAACACTGTAGATTAAAGCAAAGAATGGATGGTCAAACCCATTTCCAAAAGCTGTAACGAACAGTGAAACACATTGCCATACTTTCACCAGCAGATGGCGATATTATTCTGCCATGGATGAGCTAATGCTGAGTGTGCAGTCTGGGAAACACTTTTGGGTGTGTTACCAAGCCCTTTGTGACTTATTTTAGCTGTTTCCAGAGAAGGACGGTGCTCTCTTTCAATTATTAACTGCAGCACAGCAAAGCACCAGTTTTAGTCTGTATGACACGTACAAAGTTCAAGTCAGTCATTCCACATGTGAATAACATAAGAGAACTTTACCTTAAGAATTTGAAGATTAAAGTACTGATACAAAAAGAGAAATGGTAGGGTGCAAAAATAATAAATAATAGAGTCCTGAGATATACAAGACATCTAAGGATGACAGGAATAACAGCAAGACTGTCATCATATAACTTCTGAAGTTACGTGATGGATGTACATTCTGGGCACAGATGACACAAAGGCATCAACAGCTCATACCTTTTGTTGTCACCAAAGTCGCTTGGGTGGCTCTGAGACCCCAGGGGGAGGACAGGCCTGGCCAGCTTTTGCCTGGCTGTGCCTCAGGGGACATGAGCGTTGTACCAGTAGAGGGTGCTCTCTTATCCACATTATCCAGGCCCTCATCATGAAGCTGGGCCAAGCTGCCGCCACCCCGCAGTAGCCGAAGCTCCTCCTCTCTTTTGATGTCTTGCTCTATCTCTTTGAGAATTGCCTCTGGGGTGTCCACCTTGCGAGGCCTCAGACTGAACTTCTCATGGGACCCTGCCTGGGGCACGATGTACCTCCCAGTCAGTGAAGGCCACAAGAGTCGCAGGTCAGTGGGTGTGGAGGGAGTGGATGGAGAGGGACTGTAACTGTTTTGCACCGATCTATTGTCGAGTATCCACTGAGCTGTTTCCTCAGGGTGCCGGTGAGGACAGCAAGGAGACAGGACATCTTCTGTTTTGCTGTCACGTCTCCATTCTGCTGGGGTGCTGCAGTCTGGTGTCCTGAGCGCCTCCTCAGCACCTGTTTTGATTTGCATCGCATCAAGGTGGTTTCCTGTGATGCTCGTCTTGGGGGGCGTGACTGGAACCTCGTCTGCTTGCTGCTCAATGACCTCCATCCTATCTCCCAGTTCCTGGGGAGCGCCATCGTTATACAGACTCGACGCTCTCCCTTGATGGTGCAGCTTTTCTTCTCGCTGGCTCTCCAGCTCTATCTCCCGCTGGAGGAAGAAGCTTACTCTGCCCTTATCCCTGGCCTTGGTTGGTGTGCCGATGGGTCCTGTCCGAGAAAGAAATGGCTTGGTTTTAATTTCCACCATCTCCTTTAAGTTTGTGTGCTTGATGCCTCGCTCTCGTCGCAAACTCTCTTCCCTCTCCTGGGCGAGACGGATCTCCTTCTCGATGGGTGTCTCGGCCTCATCTAAAGGTTGTGGCTCCTGACCGTATTCCTGCCCCATGAAGGCATACTGATCACTCACATGGCCTGGTGGAAGCATGGATCCACAGCCAAGCTTCTCATCACAGCAGCTTTGGTTTGCGGTTGTTTCCTCTGATGTGTAAACTGTTACGCATTTGTTATCAAATAAGTCATTCCTAATTGAATATGATTCTTGGTTTTGACTCCTGATTGGTTTCTCTCCAGTGAGGCTCTCATAACCATGTCTCCTCAGCATGACCAGCCCTCCCTCAGCTTGTGGTGGTCGTTCTTTGTTTGCAGATTGGTAAGGTTCCTGAGGAACATTCTGGAAGAGGTTGGATCGGGACTGTTCCATTGTGAGGAACTGTTGCCGTGCTATATTGAAGTTAATCTTCTCTGTGTCAATGGCGCCAGGCTCTGCCTTGGCTGTCTCTCGATCTGCCCTGGATGGGCTATAGTAGAGGCTCAGCCCATCCAACACCCTCTGGGGCGGATTGCTGAGGTCCAAGTCTTCAAGTGCCTCCCACTGCTCTATGTCAACAGGTTTCCTCTTCGGTGCCTGGCTGTGGATGATCTCCAACCTTTGCTGAACTTGCTCCAGGTCATCTTGCACTATCGCAGGCACAGCGGCTACCTGGGAGAACGAGTCCTCCTCGCCATCCTGGAAGAGCTTCTCCGGCTTCTTCTCGCTGTACGCCTGCAACTTGAAGCCATTTGCCTCCTTGAGGGTGGCTAGTTTGTTCTGTCTCTCTGGGGAGACCATCCAGGCCTCTGTCTTCTCCACGTCTTCGCCCATGAAGGAGTAGAAGCCATGCCAAGTGCCTGAGCTACTATCACTGCTAATGCTAGTAGGACTACTGGGATGGTGGTCCTTGCTGTAGCTTCCCTCAGAAACCTGCACCTTCCAGGGCCTTTCAAACACGTCATTATCACTCTCCGTCTCCTGCAATGTCACCGAGGTTAGTGAGTCATTCAGGCCCCGTCTCTCACTGCAGGTCCATGTGCTGTCCCAACTGCTTTCTTCTCCGCTAGAACAGAGCACGGTTCTTAAGTCTGCTGGTTCCAGTCTAGGGGACAGTGGCTGCATCACCCACTTCTTGGGCATGCTCTCCATTAGTGGTCTGGATGGAGCACCTTCCTGTGGAGATGGAGGTGCTTGTGTGGCAGGGGCTTGGTGAGACGGCATCGATATTTGATCTTCTTGCATCACTGGCAGCACACCCTGTCAGTGGTTTGGTGCAACAAAGAGTAAATTAATGCAAATTTATAAAAGTACAAGCCCAAACAAAACTTGCTCGTTTGTCTTGTAGAATGCATCAGTGTGATTCATTATTCAGTATGTTTAGTAGGAACTATTCTTTTAATTTTTTTTACACCCAGCATTCTTGGTATCAGGAATATGGATATTGATTACGTCAATGTACAACTCATTTGTTAATTTTGTACAGTGTCCATCAATAGTTTGGAGGCACCTACTGATAGAAAGGGTTTATTTGTATTCCTCTCTACATTTTACAATAATTATAAAGACATCAAAACTATCACATAACATTTATGGAATTATGCACTGACCAAAAAAAAATGTTTTGGGGGGGCAGCTCTATGGGTTGGGACTGCTGGTTCAAATCCATGGATCAGCAAAGTTATCCCACCATTGGGTCCTTGAACAAGGCCCTTAACCACAACTGCTCCAGGGACTGGCTGACCCTACTGTCTCCTCTACACCAGTTTCATGACGTGGCCTCCTGGGATGCTTTTACACATGCTGAGCACTCATTGGCCGCTTTTCCTTCACTCTCTAGTCAAACTATTCCCAAACAATTTCTCCTGTGTTTAGGTCAGGTGGCCAGGTCATGTGATGCGACACCATCCCCCTGCTTTGTAGGTGGCTTGTCGTCCAAACTTTTGCCTGGTACTGTATAAATGAGTTATGTTATGATGTCTGATCCAAAAGATATAAACAGAGAAACTGACTTGAGTAAATATCTCTCTCTCTCTCTCTCTCTCTCTCTCTGTCTCACACACACACACACACACACGTAGGGTAAACATATCCTTATGGGGACCGCTCATTCATTTCAATGGGAAAAATGCTAACGCTAACTATGACAACCTTAACTCCTACCCTGCCCTAACCATAACCATAAGTAACCTAACAAAATACAAGAGTTTTTGCATTTTTAGTTTTTTCATAGCAGTCACCGATTTTTATAAAATAAAACACACACACACACACACACACACACACAAATATTTCATATCTTTAAAAGAGCTCTCCATTAATTTTTGGGGGTATAACCCCAATCCCAGCTATGATGACCTTAACCCCTACGCAGCCATAACCTTAGCCATAAGTAAAGATAACCATAAGTAACCAAACAAAGTACAATAGTTGCATTTTTAGTTTTTTCATTGCAGTCATGAAATTTTATAAAATAGAATTTTCCCATAGGTAAAAAAACGGGTATTCATCACATAGTGGGAACATTTGGTTCCCACAAGGTAAGGTATACCTGGACCACACACACACACACACACACAGAGCAGGAACACCTCCACAGACACAGGGGTACGATCTGAGCCCCCCACCCTAGGGTGTCAGCCTACCGCAGGGTGGGCAATCTTATCCGCAAAGGGTCGGTGTGTGTGCAGGTTTTTGGGATAACCTGTAGGTCAGCTGTTCAAACCCAGGTGTGAGGACTCTTCAGCCAATCAGTCCTCTAATTAGTAATCTAATTAGGGAGTTTCAGCGAAAACCTGCATACACACCGGCCCTTTCTGGGTAAGATTGCCCAACCCTGGCCCATGGCATTACCCACTGAGATACTGTGTCATCCTGGTCACAGAGCCTCATTGTACTTTAATTTTTGCAGTGATGCAAAATGAATTTAATGCATTCATTGAATTAGATTAATTCACATGGATTCCAAAATGTCTATGGAGCGGAGTAATTTCAGACATTTTTAATTACAATTCAAGGTTCACAGCACCAGGAAACAGAAGCAGCCTTTTCTCAACAAACACAAACTGATACAGATAAAGAGGCTAATTGCACGTATAATGAACATTCCTAGCATGGTCTAATAACTGGGAAACAGCAGGAATCACAGTCACAGATAACAATGCTGGCAAACCATTGGCATGTCATTATCTCTCATGATGAGTTCATATAATAAAAGCCAAGACTGAAGAAAAGTCAGATAAATCCAGCATGCCCATAAAAACAAGCAAAAATAATTTCATATATTAATGTTTGCCCACTCAGTCAATGGACACAGCAAGCAGCAAGACAAAAGCAAATCAATGAGGGAGTTGCAACTCTGCAGCTTAATTAATGGGCTGGCCCTGAGTAAAGCAGATATACTCAAGGGCGTAACTTTGGTTTGAACATTGGGGATGCAGAATTTTAAGTAACCTATTGCGGTGTTTCTCAACCCAGCCCTTGGGCACCCCCAGACAGTCCACATTTTTGCTGCCTCCCAACTCCCTGCCAGACAGGCCCCATTTTTGCTGCCTCCCAACTCCCTGCCAGACAGTCCACATTTCTGCTGCCACCCAGCTCCCAATGACTGGTTTTATTAAACTTGATAATTAACATGCTGACCCTGAGTACAGCAGGCATACTAGACAGCTACGGTCCCACTGAAAAGTGAAAACTGAAGCACGGCTTTATTTTATTTATTTTATTAAGCTTGGACCTCGAGCTGCCCAGCCTGTGTATGATAATATGGATCAGGTGCACGTTTAAAAAGTGGCCCAGCGTTGTTATGCAGTAAAAAAGCCAGCACTTTCTGGGTGATAAACAGAACGGTAGCAGGGGAGTAACATCACCGGGTGATGGGTGGGCACAGCACGAGCACAAGTGCAATATTAAACCTAACCCACAAGTAAGCATATAGTCACATTTAGCTGCAATACCAAAGCTGTGCTGAATGTAGAAAAGAACTAAGAAAAGTCTACACTTGACAACATTCTGACAACAAAAAGCATGAACCTGTACTTATATTCTGTGACTATTACATAACAAGCTCACTCAGATGATCATAATCATATAGCAACATATCATAATTTATCCATAACTTACAGCAATGTCATTTTCTTTTGTAGGACCCTTTGCTACAAATTATTGTGTAACAATAGAGTTGATTCAAATAATACGAAGTTTTATGTGGCAGCATGTTTTCTGCAAGGCTGGTATATCCAGAGTTTAGTTAAATCGCAACTGTTCTTTCAACCCAGTTACCGACTACATGATTCTGGCCAGAAAACCTTAACTTAAGCTGTAGAGATGTAGGGATTTTTTGGTGCAGTTTTCCATCACCCTCTCACAGTTTTACAGCATAATAAAAGGCATAAAAGGCATTAGAGGTGGATGTACAACATCATGCTGGGCCCCATTCCTCTGTCATCTTCGGGACTGTCAGACAGAGCCGAGCTGTGTGGGTCAGAGATGCCGATCTATAACTCAGTGTTCCCTGAATGTAATCAAATGATTCGTAAGGCACTATTAGCCGAATGGCAGGTAGAAATAATATTACATTCAAAATAGTTGAACACTAGATAGGCCTCATGCACAAGAAATAAGGCTGTAAAAAGGATAAACATACAAGATACTGCATGATTTGTTTATTCTATTGTGAATTATGTACTAATTAAAAGAACGGTTATTATAAAGATTCATCTGTCCTTTAGTTTATATATCCATGGAAAACAATAACTAGAGTTCACATTATCAGTGATCAAGGATAAAATTTTGGGTTTTGTGTGTTTGATATTATTAAAATATCTCATACATATCTTGTAATGTTTTAAGAAAATTGTAACATAACTTCTTTCACGTTTACCATGATTCATGTGACAAGTTTAATGGCACATAATGTTCACATAAAGTTGTTTCAAAATAAGGCAAAAGGCTAAAATAAATATACAGCAATGCTCAGCACAGATGGAGGGAAATAGGTATTGCATTGATTGATTGAATTAAAGGAAAAAGTTCAGATGATTAATGTATAAAATTGCACAGGAATGTACTCACATAGATCTTCTGAACATTGCTAAGCAGGGTCTAAGTACAGAGTATGTCTCCTGGACCTTCTGGCTCTGTGTGTTTGTGTGTGACTACCCTCACATTTAAAACCGGACTGTGTATCCCTGATAAGCCCCATCCTTCAACTTCCAGGAACTGGCACCTCTGCCAGCCCCCATTGGCTGAGCTGCGAGGGGGTGGAGCTAGTGAAGCCTGTTTTTACCAGTCACACTATCGTCCCCCAAAGAAGCTCAACACCGATAGGCAGAGTCCTGCCAACCTGTAGCCTCAAGTCAGCTAACCCGAGTAGTGAAGATTAGCCATGATAGAAGTCTGTCTTTGCTATATGGGACATGATGTCTAATATGCTGTAATATTTAATCAAAATATTCAAAATATGTGTTGAATGATGAGGGTATAGTAGTGGTGCCTTTGATTAATGAACCTGTACCATACATGATTCATTTGTAACCTAAAGCCTATGAAATAAGTGTCAAGATGCAGTGCGGACATGTATAAGCAAAGTTAAATTAGACACTTACTTCAAATTTACTCCATTTATTTAGGCTGCTGGCCCTAATATATTATATTTATGTATGTTGGTGGGTAGCTATTGTGATAGACTTTCTAAATAAAGCTTAATAAAGCGTTAGTCACATAAAAACCCAGAGCTAAAGACAGAAAGCATTGCATTTACCGTTAAGGAAACAATGTCGGAGAAGATAAATATTGTCAGACCTTTGGAGAGGCAAAGGGAAGTTAATTGGTGCCCCTCCCATGAAATTCCTCATTTGAGAAGCAAACCACCCTTTTGTTCAGCATAAATTTATGAGAGCAATAAAAGTGTGTAGGTGGCTAAAACAGTCAGAAAACGGTTTCTTTCATGCTTTCCGTTACAATGCGTAGTAGACCTACCTCAGAATTTGCATGAGGTTTAGCTGGGAACTGCAGCTTGACTTCAGTATTCAGTCACCATGCCCAGTCAGAAATATGTTTATCTGCACATAGAGACAGAGGTGAGATTGCATACCCAGGTATATAGAAAAGAGACGCCTGTATCTAGGCTTTTACTGCTCATAAATACTCAAGGTCAAATGGTGTGAGGGAAACCAAAGTTCAAGAGGGAAGCGGGAAGACTGAGTTCAGCCCAGGAATGGGATTGATCATTGGCTATCCTGATGGCATGTATGAATAAGGCATGAGTGACGTGAAAAATCTGTTAATGGCATAAATAACGCCATTAACAGAAGCTTGAGCCATATGCAAATTTCGCAAAGTCAAGAGCACGTGAAGATCCAGTTGGTCTGAAGGAATCTCTCGTTTATGATTTACTGACCTCTAGTGGTATGAAAAAAAGTTACGTAAATAAGTGTATGGGCTGCAAGGTGCAAAATGCTTGTCAACTTCCTTAATCATTTCTTGCATTTCTCCTAGCAAGAGTAGAGAGGATTTTATCATGTCTTAATGTACAGTTTTGCCATTCTTCCATCTCCCAGCTGCATATCCTGGTCGGGCTCCCGGTGAATCTCTGCACGTTATCCAGAGGCAGCCTGGCATCCCATCCCTAGCCAGGTTTAGACGTGTCCCACTTAGACTGTAACGCAATAAGATGAATTAGAGATTGGGCAGAGTAATTCAAGGATGCATTTAAGATGCATCTGCCCACTCAACATCATCATAACAATTTAAATTACCCAATTACAACACAGTGCAATTCTAAGAATAATTCAATGTGAAGTTACGGAACTAAATTTATAATAGAGTCACTGGACATTTATATACAGAAAGTAGCATTCTATAGGCTACCTTGCCTGAGAAATAACCACATTGCATGTACTTGACATAAGGGGTGTGTGACGCACCATGTGTCGCGTGAGTGGAAGGGGCTGCATCAAAAGGAACTAAAGCAGAAGATGGTGTGCAGGCCACCAGAGGATGGGACACCCTTATGGGGACAAGCACAACACGTTCCAATGAACAGCATGGCAGGCGCAAACCACAGCAGATTTAAATATAAAAACGGAGGAAAATATACAGAATAAGGTCTGTCACTTTTTTCCTGGCTATTACTGCAAAGTCTTAAAATAGATGTACACTGCTCCGTTTGCACGTGTAATTCACACATTTGTTTAATTTTTTTAAGAAAAATTATGCTTGAAAATTATACAAGAAAGGCATTAAATAATTGGTGTCAATACAACCTTACTTCAGCATTTCAACTGTAAAGAACTCGACACACCTTCAAAGTTATATAATATACATAGCAGATGCACAAATGCTGAAATAATGAGTTTTTGGTGACAGGATTTCTAATGTTTGATGAAATATTAAACTGCTGAAGTGCTGAACATTCAAAGATCACCTCTATAGCACACATAGTAAATCACTGAATAAGGCAAATATGTCACCAGTAGCTGGTGTATATTTGCTTCGGTTCTTGTCACAGATGATTTTGCCAGCTTACCTTGGTCTGTTAGGTGCTTCTTATGGCAACATGCACCTTTAGGCTGCTGCATATCTGTGTGCATGGACTGCAAGGGTGGAAGTGACCCAGTGTCCCCCACCTTAAAATGTATTGAGCAGGAGGTACGAAACGTATGCAAAAATATGGGATATATGGTTTTGAAAAATTATTCAGGGGGTCTGAGACAAAAAATAGGGTGTAGAATCGCCAATTGCCAGAGATCTTGTATTAGCATCACATTCACTACTCAATCTTCTGCAGAAAAACAAGTCGTCCATGTTTTCAAACCTGTATCCTTTCGGTTTTTTAATGGTGTGGATGGTTTACTTACTGCTACAGGCCTGAAGGCTGGGATATATTGGCCTGATATTTGTACCTCTTTGCATTTGTTATGAACCAGGTATCTTAAGCACTGCACTGCTGAACAGCTGAAATCGAAGGCAAGTGAATCCTTTACATCAGATGTTCTAGGTGTTTCTAGTCTAGGACGAAGCGCCAATGTTAGCCTAGCCCCCTGGATTCCGGTGTGGGGCCAGCCCCTGGGACTTTGGCTGACCGGTTCTCCCCGCTGTTCCTGCCTCCGTATGTCCCACCCTCTCCAACCCTGTCAACCAACGGGCACAGTTCTGGAGTTATCGCCCGGGTTCTATAGGGGCCTACGAGAGATTGGATGCAGGAATGGTGTCACTGAGCCCCTGTTTATTTATTTTTTGTGTCCTGCTGTCACAAGGCCTACGCTGAGGGCAGGGGACTCGCTTCGGAATGCGGCTGTCAGCGAGCGCATCACAAAGGCAAACAATGCTCTCTAACACCCACATGTGACAATAAGCACGGGAATTTTCTGCCACGCTGCGGAACCAATTAAGGGGAGGCGTCACACACATACTATTGGGGGGATATTTTCATCTTTTTGTGGGAGTCTAGTGAGAAGACGATGGGGAACAGGCAACGCCCTGCTGAGGCTGGTTCTCAACATCCGGAATTTGAAAAGGAGAGATAAAGAACAAGAGAAGAAGCGGTTGCTTTAAAGCACGTTACATTTTATTGTTTCCAACACTTTCTACATCACTTGCCAGTTTGTAATAAAGAAAACCTTGACACCTTATAAGGCAGGAGAAACAACAGCAGTTTCACTGCACCGTTAGCTGTGCAGGAACCAGACGTATGGGAGAGATGGAGGGTTCACTATAATAAGAGAAAGATACATTTCTTCACAAGGACTTTAATAGGTAGGGTTATATACTTATAAAAAGCATGCAGTTACAAAAAGAGGCCTGGACTGAACCAGACTACAAGGCATTAGGGTTGTCTAACGCGTCAGAACTGGAATGTCAGTACAGAGTGTCGGGGTGGGGGGGGGGGGTTGCTAAGCAGGGGCCTGAGGTAACTATGGCAATGGATGCCAGCAAAATATGAAGGGAACAGTCATGTGACGTCCACTGCAGCCACACTAAGCCAAGCGCTACTGAAGATGTGTGCCAGCCGTAACAGAACGGCGAACATATCGTGTATTTCCAGAATGGTCACTCCTCTAATTTTTTCGATGCTGGAAAAGCATTCCGCACATGATGATGTCACGTCAGCGTCGCTTTGGCCTTGTGGGAGTGCATGGACTGATTCGACGCCGAGAACGTCTGACTCACCCCATGCTCCATCTGAAGGTGAGTAAGCATGTGTCAAGGACTTAATTACAGAAACACCTCTTGCCTTAAATTGAAGTTGAGTTTCAAAGGGAGTCTCCAGAGTGGATTTGAGCACTGTAGCTTTGAATGACAGTTAAGCTTCCTTAAGAGATAAGCCAAAAGCTGAGTTGAACCAGCCAACTGAACCTACGCATACAGATAGGAGCCGGTTGGCTGTATCAATTAGAATATAAATTTCTAAAAATTGTGCCATGTCCCATGGAAGGTTTTACATTTTGTAAATGTGCATGAAAAGATTACTGCAATCCCCAACAAGTCTAGCACTCTGCGAATCTCATTTTCACAATGTGTCCAACTATCTGAATGAGGCTTCCCAAAAAAAAAATAAAAAAATTACACTGTACTGAGGACCTCTGTTCCAGGCTGTATTCCAGCAGAGAGTTAATGATCTTGTTTTTTTCATAGCAGAAGAAAAGACAAAATAGTTTGGAGATTTTTTTTTTGGAGAACAGGCAAAGAGGAGCTATGAATAGGTAAGATCTCAATTTCAAACCCGAGGCCACTGGAAGTGTCTCCACCAATTAGCATCTTGTGGAGTGAACAACAATCTATAATATTCCAGAAAAACACCTCTGTGTTCGTACAGCGTACACATTCAAACATCTCCTTGTAATTCCTACTTTCCTACTCCCTCATACTGAGCCTAAACCTGATGTAATCAGGTCTAGGTGAGTCCACACACAGCTTCAGTCACCCAGTACTCAACCCTTAGGAGGCTCCTGGGTACAAACAGCACATTTCAGCATCCTTGCGTATCCACCTCAAACGTTCATCTTGGCTCTGTCCAAAGCTGCTTAACTCTCCTGCTTGAAAGATCCCCTGTCCACATAAACTTCTGATCTCGAGCCTGCATTTAAAAGTGGCCACACCTTACGGTGAGCGGGAATATATATGTGAAGAGTTTTAAATGAAGTTTCAGCAACATAAATGATTGCAGACTTTAGGAAGGTGGGCGTTACACTGATAAGCAGATTATTTTAGAAATGCAGGGATTTTTGCATGTAATACAGTCAAAAACATTTTTTTTTAATTTGGATCATGTAAACATGCATGCAGATATTCTGTTGCATAGGTTTGAGAAGCCCGCTGAGGGAGTATTAGATATGCGATTACCAGTGAGTGGCCACCGTGGGGCGCTATGCCAAGGAGAACGGGGACGCTATCACTGCATCCGGCCTGGCGCTCCCACTCTGAGGGCCAGAGGGGGCACTGTGGGGCCCGAATTCGACATGCCGATGGCTAAAGAAGCTAACGCAGATGACTCTGCCTGACTGATAAGGGGAGGGGGATGGGGAGGGTGTCAAACAGAAGCAAGAGAGAAACAGATTTGCTTTCAGCATATGCAGTCTGGTTCTCCAATGGACACGAAACGCATTTACCAACAGTGCATGAATACCAAGACATTATTTGCTTTTTTGGACTGGTAACACACTTCAAGCACCATTTTGAAATTTGGATAAAACACCACTTTAAAAATCTACCTTCACAGAAATGACCAAACTACTCCTTAAAACCCATCCTACAGATGTAGAGACAATAGAAAAATGTAAAAGTGTTGAAATATGACCGTCCCTAAGACCGAAGCATTTTTATTTGTATTTTTGCAAAGAAAGACACGCAGCATAACCAGTGCAAGCAGGAGGCACGACAAACTCACAGGCCGTGGGATTTTTTCAAGTTAAAAGTACCAGAGTCCACAGAAACCACTTGTTGTTCGGCCAGCTTCCCAAATAAAACTTTTATTTTGAAGAAAAATTACACACGGACCAGCAGGCACACTGGGGTTTGTCAGCAAATTGGTGGGAGAAGCACAACACAGGCAATTTGCTTGACAATCCGTCTCATTATCCCATCTCACCATACAAAGGACAATAATTACAGGACTTTTTTAGCTTAGCTGAAAATTTAGCTCCAAATACTGCTAATAAAATAATAATAATAATAATAATAATAATCCATAATAATAATAAACCCAAGCTTCTATATGTCTACAAGGCAGCAAAACAAAGAAACAAAAAAAAAACAGGATGAAAAGAACAGGCACAGAGAAACGAAAGAAAAACAACTATCGCTCTCTAAGTGCGGGAGGGGGGACTGAACAGCAACTGGAGCAAATATCACCACTTGGGGGGAGGAAAGAGGTGGCAGCATCCTGGAATGTGAGGAGGGCTTGCATCCCTGTTTCTGACGTCAGGGTCCTACACGAGCCAAAGAGCTCGGGGGCCCGGCGATGGGGGGGGCCCGGCGATGGGGGCGACTCGGGGCCGACGGCACGGACTGCGGCGTCGGGGTGTTTCCCGAATGACGGTGAACCCCCTCGGGAACTTTGCAGGGCGGATTATTTTCCCGCTTTTGCTGTGGGTCTCTTTCAGAGGGATGTGGTGGGTGATGTGGGGGTGATGTGGGGGTGGGGGGGGGGCTGCACATAACAAAAAGCCATCCACCGCATGCCGATTCAGGAAAATGAAATACTCCACGAATGATCGCAGCACTGTGACATCGAGACGGCATCACACCAAACTGGACGCTCGTTATGACTGCTTGGGTTCAGCTGGATCGGCGTCCAGCTCTGCTTAAACCTCACTGATGCTGGCCGTCTACTACAGACTCCAGGTCGATAATCTATGGTGGGCATCACAGACGATCCAGAGACTTCTCATTGGAAACTAAATGGATTTAAACCAGCAAATCACTCCCTCCTTACACAACAGCATTTATTTCTTCAGAATGGGTGACGTTGGCCAGGTTATCGTTGTTATTCTCGTTCTTACAATCATGGTTCAGTCCCCATTCGGCTGAAGGAGAATTGTTTCAGAAAGAAAAGCAGTGAGTTTAATGAGCCGGTGTGACTGAGATTGCTGGCGTGGACAGAGGTCACGTGAGGTCACGTGAGGGCATCACGATGACATGGAGACGAGCACAAACAGCACGAGAGCTTGGCGGCAAACCCTCAGTTGGCCTCGCACTTAACGCACTGAGCTGCTCAAGTGTCCAAATTTACATCCGCTCGTTTCTCCACACTGCACACTGGTAATAGCCTTAAGACACCATCCCTCTCCCCGTATCTTAAGAATAATTCAGGTTTTTTTCTTTCTGGGAAAAAAAAAACCATGACAGTTACCTCATCACAGCATTATCAGTCATAAATATTACAACACGGTTTTCGAAATGTGTGTTTTTTTTTTACCCGCTGGCTCGCTGAATCTCTGAAAAACTGTGACAGCAAAGAAAACACAGCAAGCTGGATACCTTACGTCTTCACCCACGGTGACCAGAGGGATTTGTCTAAAAAAATCCAAATAAATATATCTTTAAAAATAAACAATTTATATATAGATATATATATATATTTATATATGGACATCTGTGTCCTTCATACGGTAAGATAAGACTACAAAATTCATGACACTGAGTAAGTGATGTCATTTACAAAAGAATCCCGTTGGATAATGTTGGATGACCTTAGCGCCGGGTGGTTATGGGGACGAGGCCCTCCGCTCCCGGTTCCTGAATGCCAGGTGGGAACCGGTCTGACCGCATCGGATGCAAACAAAGTGGAAAAAAAAGAAACAGAATTTAAAAAAGTAAAATAAAAAACCCCTAAGGATGATGACGGAGTGGGGGTGTCGTAAAAAGATGGTGTGTTTCTGTGGTGGGTGAGAGTTTCTGTCCGGCGGGCTCGCGTCCCGGGGGGTGCTGGCGGCCCGCTCACATGATGGAGCAGCACTTGCAGGGCTGTTTCTCCTTGGTGTTGAGCTCCGCCGCCCCACTCTCGGCCTCGCCCTTACCCCCTCCCTCCTCCTGGACCTTGACGGGTTCGGCGGCGCTGCCGTTGGGGGGGGCCTGGTCTTCCTTGGCCCCCTCGACGCCCCCTTTGCTCTCACCGTCCTCGATGACCACCAGCTCTGCTTTCACCGTCCCCTCCAAACCCAACACCTTCTTAGTCTCCGTCTCGTCCTCGACGCTCTGGTATCCCATGAACACCATGGTGATGGGGTGTTCGGAGCTGGCATCGCCCAGAGCATCCTGGGTATCGCCGCCGGGCTTGGCTTCCATGCCTGTGATCTCCTTCTTAGGGGTCTGTGCCGCCTCCAGGGGACTGCCCGTCGCTCTAGGTGTGCCCCCCGCCTCGATCATGGAGACCTCGTCGGCTTTGTGGATGAGCTCATCCACCTCCGTGGAGCTGAGCAGGTGCACTCCGTTCTCCACGGCGCCGTCGATGCCACGCACCTCGTGCACCACTGTTGGGGGGGAGAAAAGAAGGTGGAGTCAGGCAAAGGCAGCTTGGTGGAGGGGGGGATGGAGAGGACAGGTGGGTGGGGTTGCTGTGATCAAGCTTAATCTGCCCATGGACCAGGGGTCACTCAAGCAGAGACAAGGAGGCCAGGAAAAGCAAGCAGGTGACAGGAAGGCCGGCAGTGCACCGTGGGTATGAACCTCACATACGCTCGCCTGCCTGGGGAGGCAGGCTAACAGAAACGGGGTCTACGCTGCACATGGGAAGCGGCGCAGGCGAGAGGGGCAGGCGTACAAATGCGCGAGCCTGACCCACCGTGGCCTCGGCAGTGGTCACAGGTTTGACCTGCCAGCCGTTTCCCCGGACGCCGGGCCGACGCGTCATGGCGACGGCGTCACATTATACACATGGGCTTGAATTTTCACAGCGTCGCTTCCAGCGACAGGAAATGGCCAAATTCCACTCCGGGACTCTGGCCAGCCCTTGCAGGAACGAGATCCAAAATCCTCACTATTAAAGGCGTTAGTCCACTAACTTTCCAAAAAGATTTTTGGCTAGAGAGGGCTGATTCCAAAATTACAAGGAATGATATCACTGCCTTTTCATTTGGATTTAAAAGCAATACAGTCGTATTATCAAATCTCGAAATTATCAGCTAAATATTGCAGATGTCGTGTACAGAGCTTCACTTGAGGTGGAATGAGCCCATATTTCTCTGTCAATGTCGGTGTCGGGGGGCCGAGCAGAGTGGGGGGGAGCATGTGCCCGACTCGCTGCTTTGCAGAGCTGATGGTGGTGCTGGATGGGAAGAGCAGGGTGAGGGTTGAGGGGGCCATGCCCCATTCTGGCTGGAAGCAGGGTGACCAAGTGACACATCGCAATACAGAGATGCAGCCAGTCACCACGCTACCGGCTCCTGGTGAAGCATCGTCTCTTAGCATCAAGAGCCGTTTGGCTGCTTCCCTACAGTGGAATGTGGGCAGGGGATACCAGGCAGAATAGTCCATTCCATTTAAAAATACTCATTAGTTTTCACGTCAATCTTTTGGTCACCCTGCTAGAGGCGCTCATGCTGAATTTTCATACTTTACGAGAAGTGGCATTTTGCAAGTTGCTCCGGCGTGCTAACCTGCCTCCTGCTAATCACCTCGTCGCTTTGCCGTATCCAATGACCCCACTACCTATGCGAGCAACGCTAACTTTACTGCACTGCGATGTATGTAATGCACTTAGCAAGCGGCTCATTGCCGATGGTCTTTCTGACACACTTTCCTCTTGACCTTTGGGGCTCAGGCTTGGACATGCTAACCCTCCGCCATAAATGCTGATGTTTCGACCAACGCCCATCTGCGAGTGTGACTGGCACTTCTCGTAAAGCAAAGGGACTGCGCAGGATGGGTTTCCGCCCGCACGACGCTCCACTGCAGACTATAGCAGAGTCACCTTTCTGGTCATCCTCATAGACCTTGACCCCCTGTTGAGTGAGGTCTTTCGGCAGGAGCGTGTTGGTGGATAACACTTTAGTCTCGCCGGTGAGCCTGTCCCTTTCAACGGTGATCTCGACCGAGTACGTTGCTGGGCGTCAACGAGAGGACACGTTAGAGTCCTGCAGATGCTCCTTGTAGGTCACCAATCAGCACGCACCCACACTCTCCTTTGGCAGTCAGCCAATAAACCCACAACATTGCAAAGACATCACGATGCATACATCCTAATAATCTGGCAGGGCAGCTTTCCCTTGATAGGCCCTGGAAAATTACACCACTAATTTATACCTGCTGACAATTTTTGGTTCTAGGAGGTATGGATTTGATTTGGGCTTTTATATATCATAAGGGTACTATTACGTTGTCAACAGAGGCACAATTACCTATGTACAAAATGGGGCAAATAAAATCACCACCAGGTAATCCACTGACCACTTACTGTTACAATTTTGGAAACAAATTTGAAAGGATTTCTTTGTAGTTAGTACGTACAATGAGCTCACAGCTGCCATGGCAACAATGCATAGGAGGGCACAGCACAGCCTGGCAATATTTCTGTTGTCATAGCAACAGCAAATCTGCGATCTGGATATATATATATGTTACTGTAATATACAGAGTAGCCGTAGGTAATAATATTAGGTTTATACTCTACATGCAAACGCAAGCTTTCACTTTTTCATATCTACGTCTTTTAAGCTAAACAATGTGGATTTAGACACAAAGACACAGGCATGCGGAAAGAAATGGTGTTTTGGAAATCTAGACAGAGAGACAACAAAAATTAAAGGTGAAATCAGGTAGACAAATACTGTACATAAGAGACAACCAAGTACATAACAGTAACAACATATTGCGGTATTTAGTCAAAAAAGCAAATAAATGCATACAGGAATGGAAACAACTTACATCAATAATGTCATAATTATATATTAGATATACTATTGACTATTCATTACTGTTTTTAGGTTGTGACTGAGTGATTTACTGCTTCATTTACTGATCATCTCACAAAAAACAACCTCATTGCAAAATAATCTGTTACATTTTATTACATTTTATCACACTGGTTATTTAATTCTCCTACCTGTGGCCATGTTATGTTAATGGACTTCTTCAAAAATAATTTTGGAAAAAAAATCATAAATGTTTGACTGCAGACTTTAATTAATGATACAAAAAAACTGTAACTGTCAGATGAGTTGGCATTATGTATTTATGGGATATGAGCAAAAATAAATAAAATTTAGAAATATTTCAATTATATAAGCATCAAAATGATGACATAATTAGGAATTGTAATTATGAAACACTGATTGTTAATTACGATACAGTATGTCCTAATTTTGACATAGGAAGTCTTCGGTATGAGAGAGAAAATGCAGCATCACGAGATAAGTGTAATTATGGGATGTCAGTTGTAATGGTACAAGAAAAGCAGCATTATGAGACACTAAATTGTAATGATCAGATATAGGAGACATCACACAGCTAAGGGCACCTTAAGTTTTTTTTGCCACATATCTGAGATTTGATTGATTATTGGGGAATAACTTTGAAAATGAAAATAGTTTGTTGCTAATGTAAAATCCTGTTAAAGGATATATTGTGCTGTTTGCCTTTCTAGGTGCAGGGGTTTGAGATTAAAGTTACATAAAAGCACAGGATGCAGAAAATAAAACTGGAAAAGGCTCCCTTTTCAAACAAGCTACGCAACATAAAAATAATCAATCCTCTCAGAAAAATTACAGCAAAAGATAAAAAATTAAATTATGACACAGTACTGTGCTATTTAACACACGTAACAGAAAGACACTGGGTTTGTTTTGGCCGAGTGCACAACTCAAATATCATGGTATTTTATGGCCCACAAGGCTGCAAATATTAAATGAAATGAAAGGGGAAAAAAAGATACTGAAGAAATCTTATTACAGAGGGAAGGATTTCCACCAAAACACAGGCTGCAGAGACTCACCTGTTTTGATCATATCTGAGGAACTTCCGGACATGTCCAGACGTGAACGGTTGTGAATTTTGACCTCTAAAATGGTCAAGGAATAAGGAGGCGGGACAGGCAGGAAGGAAGAAAACGTGATACAAACGGTACCAGCCCAGGACGTGCGGCCAGGGCACAAAGGGAGCGAGGGAACCTAGCGGCGCAACGAGATGTTTCTCTACATCCAGGATCATGGTCGGATCAGACATCTCCTACAGCCACAAAGCCCTCCGGCCCGCGGCTCTTGTGACCCCTCGGAAACCTCCAGTGAGCCTCCTTACCTCACATCCCACCACTGCACACTGCAGGACATTAGCCACACCCACACCCAGTGATTCCCATAAACTAAGGCCAGGATTTTTCTGCTTTTACTTGGTTGGTCTAAATTATATAGAAACATCTGGTAGTGGCCAAATGAATGGTAAGGTCAAATTGACTACATGCTAAGTGAACAACAAATAAAATAGTTTGGTCTCTTATCATACACATGAAATAGTTGTGCAATGGATGAGAATTATGCAGCTGTAAATTGCTTCCAAATGTCAGCAATGATGCGCATATGATGGCAAGGCTAGCAATTGCTGTCACCAGAAACATGCTAAGAATGATATTAATACTGGATGTAGAGAGAGACAAACAATCTTCAAAGTGCAACAATGGGCTGAAGTGCACACTCTACAATCAAGATGCAGAGAATGGAATCCAATCTAGTATGTAATATCCCCCTGGGGACCAATGAAGTGTATCTACCTACCAACCTATCTAGGACGAAAAGCAGTAGAACGGCACTAAGCAGGCTAAGCTCTAAGCAGACTAAGAGACCATATTAACGGAACTTCACAGACAGGGTCTACCCAGACAATTCACTCACAACACCAGGCCATGTCCTGTTGCTGGTTCACTGGTGCTTGGAGTATAAGAAGAACATTGTGTGATCTGGTTTGCCATTAAATTGATCCTCGTGATGTTCCTCACTGGTGTTCAAGCCATTCTACACCCCAGAGTGACTAGTCATACCCCCAGAGGGACAAGAAAAGATCATCTTTGTTCCAAGAGAGCAGAGAACACAGTTTCCAAGCGGAGTCTGCGTTCACTCCTTCCATGAGAAAGCGTGGTTGCACAGAGCAACATCATACAGGCCACAGCAGTCAGCTACAGCCTCTAAAGGTGCCTTCCGAGATGACGATGCAAGGAATTGTGCTGCTGGTGGGCACTATGAGAAGCACGAGGAGCAGGTCTCCCTCCACATGATGGAGGAAGCCCGGGCAGGTCAGCTAATAGAAACATGTGACATGTTGTTTTGGAAAACACCCACATTTTTATTTGGGGCAAGACCAGGGCAGGATAAGAGTGAGAAAGCAAAAAGCCTTAGGAATGAACCACAGAACCTGGATGCCGAACACCATGGCCCAGGATTATGAAAACAAAAACAAACCACAGGGACACCTTCAAAGAAAAACATGGAATTGCGTGTGAAATGTGAATGACGACCGTTACCTGACTTTTTCTCCCAAGGTGAATGCTGAACTATACACAGTGTGAATTTGAGAAATTACTTACGATGTTTTGACCATTTCTCTCACATCACACCAGGCTCCCTCACTTCCATATGGTCCTGACAGCATCAGATACACTGGGAACTGATTGGCTTGTACTGGCTCAAACTTTTTGTCCACTGCCTACAGCAAATGTCTTCTGGAGTGCACTTTTATTTTCTTTGTAAATAAATATGTCCAGTATAACTGTTTTTTTGGGTTACAAATATTCCTTATATTAGTTTGTGCTTCATTTTCTGTTTCACTACTAAATAGCTTCAAATGTTTGCAACAATTTTGTATTGTGACATTCTGTATCAATCACCAAAAGAATTTATTTATTATGGGAAAACTCAGACTATCCATCTCGGTGTAATTAAAAACAGAAGCATTAACAACGTATTCTAAAAAAGCTATTAAAAATTAACTATTAAAGGTCTTTTATTTTTATTTTGTATATTATTTGTATTGCAATATTTGGCATGATGATACGTTTGAACTGGTTATGGCAACAGAGAATGGTGAAAAAAATCAACATTAACATCAAAATGGATAGGATTGCTGTAATGGAAACTGGGCCCTGAGGGTTAGGGTTTAGGATTAGGGTTAGGTGTAGGGGTTAGGTTAGGCTTAAGTAATGGGAGGATCAGGGTTAGAATTTGAGTCAGGGGTAGGGAACGGTTGAAGCTACAGATAGGATTATGGGTAGGACTAGGTATAGTGGTAGAGGTAGAGTTACGGAAGGTGTAGAGGTAGGTCTAGAATTTTGGAGTAGGGCAGGGCTAGGGTTAGGATTTCATCCAAGGTAAGGAGTAGGGTTAGTTGTTGAGGTAAGGAGTAGGCATAGGGGTAGGGATATTGGTAGGAGTATGGTTAAGGTTAGAGAATGGTTAAGGGTAGGGTAAACCATAGAGTTAGGAATTACGGTTAAGGTAGGGATTATGCATAGGAATTGGAACACCAGAGAGAACAGTGTGCACCTGCTAAGCATTCAGGCAGAATGCTGACAAGAGACGCAAAACTGAGACACAAAAAAAAACGTGCTGAAAATTTTGGAAACGTCTTACCTTTGACAGAGCCTGCAGGAGCCTGACAAGAAAAAAGAAAAATGGAAAATATGTGACGTTAAGCTGTGCACCACATGGTCAAATAAAACACAATGTAATGGACTGATCTTTCATATTACATAGGTACATTTACATTATTGCATGCACTGAACTCTGAACCCCTGCGAATGCAACTTTGAAAGATACTTTTTTTTGTACACTTTTAGGTTCAGTCGCAAAGATTTTTGCTGACATTTGCTGGAAATGCTGCAGGAGATGCAGCAGTTTGCTTTCCCGAAACGGGCAGAGGGCTGGAGGGAGAGCTGCAGAAGTGGATATTGACAAGAGAAGAAAGAGCAGTCAAAAAGCAGCTGTCAGAGCGGGCGGGCGGGAAGACAACGTTTCAGTCTGTTGCTAAGGGACTCTCGGAAAATGGGTCACACAGAGCAGCCCTTCAAGCCTCTGAAAAAGCCCCCTGTCAACAGCAGTTCCGAATTGGGTGCCCATCTCCGCCTGGGACCGCTTCCCCACAGCAGGTCCAGTCGGCCTTTACGATACGGGTTGTCGTGTAACGTCAAGACGGTGACGTGACGCCCGTTCACGCAGCAGGGATGCGCCAGCTTCAACATCGTGCCACAGAACTCCATCCAACCATCCGTCCATCTTCCTGATCACTTACCCTGATCAGGGCCATGGGGATGTTCGACGTGGAGTTAGTCACTCGGAGCCGTCGTTTGAGTGTGATTGTATTGAGCAATGAGGGTTTATGGGTGGCTCATTATGGTCTGATCCCATTCCCAAACATCCTAGCCCACCATATGCCTTAAGGGTCGGTGAGTTGACCCTTATTGGATGGTCCCAGATGGGTGGACGGATTGACTGCATAAAGGTGCACGTTTCTAAATAGGGTGATGGAGAAACTCAGCAGTGTTGCGGATAGCCAGCTGGGGTCTTACTTTAAGGTAGCTATATACTTTAAACGACGTCTGGATAAAACGAAATTGAGACAAACGTGTTGCATACTTAAAACACTGAGGACACCTTGTTCGTTCAATGTTGTGCCCCAATCCTAGAGGGCGCAGAACGTTTTATATGCAGCAGTCCCAAAGATAGAGCGCAGATAAACATATTGCGGCTATTTGTTTTAATAAAGGAGACGGCAGCATTTAAAATGGAAGTCACTCTCTTTAATAATAACCACTATTGGCTTAATACTAGCGGTATAGGGAAGCCAGCAATTTACTCGACACTCACAGTTGCATGCTAATGAAACGCGCATTCCATGGCAAGCACTACACGGTTACTACATTTACTATTAACAGAAATACACCAATATACATTCATTTACAATATTTAAAGTGTATTGCAGTGCAAAGCACACTGGTAACTGCATGCATAATTAGTCCTGCTGGCCAACCCCGCGGCATCACATTTATGTCAGCCAATCGTGGACAGTGGAAGGGATCAGAAAAAAAAAAAAAAGTTTGCCTCAGGGGCCCCGTATAGGCGGTATGCTGAAACACTGATCACTGCGGTGATTATAGCTCATAGAAACTGCTACAACGACGTTGATTCCATCTTAAGTATACAGCCACCTTTAGCCTTCAATGCTTCATGCTTCGCTGCTGATGTTGACGACAGGCCTGTTTGCAAAGTGCAATTTTGCTGCAAATGAAGTGGTGTGCGGCAAGAATGCGGTCCAAGCTGTGGTTTGGGCACAGCCGTATTCTCTAATATATACCGGCACAGGCTATTTATTTAATTCATGTGACACCCATGGCCCGGGGCCCTGGGAACGGAGAGGAGGGGAGGGTCTGGAGCCACCCTTCAGCATAGTGGTGTTACATTATTTATATTCCCTGCATGAATTTATGGAATGTTTGTGGGCCAAAAGAAGGTGTCATGTGAGCCAAATGTGGCCCTGGGGCCACGTACCGAGATCCCCATGTCTCATGTCTGGGGAAATGAAGCAGGAACAGCCCAGAAATTTCCCCCAAAGCTTCACAACAGTATTTTGGCTGCCATTTCAAGCATCAAAAATTGACTTGTGACTCACAGAAGAGGGCGGAACCCCTGGCGAGGCTCACCTTGTTGTCTCCCGTTTTCCTCTCTTCCTCCTTGTCCACATCGGATAAGTTCTCTTTGGTGGATGTTGCTGAAACTCCAGTTTCCAGTTCCTCCAGCTCCTGTTCCAGCCTGTGAGAGATGGGAGCAGGAACATCCATCCAGCCACCCTCCAGACACTTATCCAACACAGAAACATTTATCACTTTAAAAATCATAGATAAACTAACACAAAAATGTCTATTACAGGTGACCCTATATGTCTGATTGTTTTCCAGTTGTTTGGGCTTAAAGCGACTCACTAAACTCACATTCTCCCTACAAACCACACAGTGTGATATTACACTACAGTGATTCAGGTTAAGTACCTTGCCAGGTAACTGTACCAGATGACTAAACACTCTCCTCCGCTCAGCCTCCCAGATAATTAGCGATATTTAGGCACTGATGCGCCGGATCTGCCCTGGTTTTCCAAGCAGAGTGACGGCCGCAGCCCGCCAACTGCCATTGAGGAATTTAATTGGGCCTGGAGCAATCGCAGCCTGTGGCAGCCAGGCGGAGGACTGAGGCCACAGCTTGCTGCTGGCAGGAAAGGCAGGAGGCGAAAGGGGACTATGCCGCCGCATCTGCCCATTCTGCAGATATTTATGGATCAGCATCTTACCAAATTGTAGTTTTGGGCTTTGAACAGCTGAGAAAGCTGGAGAGCAATTCCAGAGACTCATAACTCTGGTGACGTATAACTGAGTTTTGCTAAAATGAATTAAACTTTTTTTATACATCATCTATAGAAATTGCATCTCGGGGGGAAAAAAAACATACATGTGGTCAACAAAACAAAAGGTATTACTGTATTCTATTAAGTACTGCTTTCTTTAACACTTTCTAGGTTCATTTGCTTGACCTTAGAATAGTCTCCTCCAGACCCTTGGTCTTGGCCTCGTCTTCCTGAAGCTGTCTCTTTGCTTCGTCCTCCTCCGAGCCAGCAGAGGGCGCTCCATCCAGCAGCCATCTCTCCCGCAGAGCCTTTGACTGCACGAGGTACAAAAGCCACAAGCTGGTGTGTTCAGCGGCATTTATGCATGCGCGAAGAGCCATATGGATTTGAATCTAACGGGAACAACAAGCAGAGGCATATTACAGGGAAGGTGCAATGATGAATAAAGCAGCACTGGAGCTAAATACAGTGTTTGATACAGAGCATCGTCAAGTGATTTCTGGCTGACTGACAAACAGACGTTGCCGTCAGTTCAATGCCACAGTTCATTCTGTTTTTTTTTTTACTACAGGAATGATATTTATACCAAAAACACAATATAAGATGGTGGGCAATATAAGCCTGATGATAACTGCTATGTTCACATCTTCACTGAGACGCCATCCTGGCTGTACCCCAGCCATATGCCCTAGGCTGCCTGGGATCGGCTCCTGGGCCCCCCCCCCCGACCCGGACTGGGGTTAGCGGTTAGAAGACAGATGGAAAGATTGATGGAAGGGCATCTTCATAGACTAAATGTACTTCAGTAATATGGCCAAGATGTCCTACATTCTACGCATACAAAACACGGATTTTCTTTTTAAATAAGTCTGGTTAAAAAATATTAATGCATAAAATATGTTTAACCTAAATTTAAAGCAAACTTGTTATTCAAACAGTGGGTTTTTAAGGAAACAAAGAGGCGCATTACTATCAAAGAGATCTCCTCTCCCCAGACCCTGATAGCAGTGGATGTGACACAGGCCTCTCCACGCTTAAGTAATCTCGTTAATTAGCAATGAACTGGAGCATGTGACCCCAGCCTGTGTCGTTCATTTTCCTGACCCACCCCAGAGCCGCACCCCACTGCCTCGCCCTTGCCGCGGACTGGCGCGGCACATGTGCGGTCCGTCCGCCCGTCCCACTCGCCGTCCCACTCGCAGACCCGGGTCTAATCTGGGCATAGTGCCCACCGACCCTTGGCGCTACACAAAAAGCATGACAGGAGGACGGGGCTACAGCATTGCTGTCTAACACAAGTGCATCTGCGAGACTGTTCGGTGGGGGGGGGGGGGGGAGGGCTCCAGGGAGAATGAGGAATATAACCTCCGGAGAAAGCAGCTGCGTCTTCCTGTAATCAAACCGGCTAATTCTGACATGGGCCGCATCAGCGAAAAAGATACGCAGGCAATCGACCGTTAAAAGCCTCACCCAGTGCAAACCCGCGGCAATGGCGGCTTCTAGAAATGAGGGGCATCCAATCCTCAAGAAAGTGACCATGGAGGGTGGAAGATGGAGCCTTTAGCAGCTTGGGGTCACAGCGGGACACAACAGTGAGAGTTAGACCCTGTAACAGGGTGACTGTTGTTCTGAAATGCTGATGTTTGGACTGTTTAAGGTCTGCTTGTGGCCACCTGTCGATATTTCTGAGGAATGACGAAGTGAGAGCCTGGCCACCAAAGAGGACAGATCTTTGCGGACACGTCTCTTCCCGTAAATCAGGAATAACGTCAATGACACCCCCCCCCCCAGGGTATGGCTGATGTGGCGGCCCTGTGTGCTTCCTGATTTTCCCCGCGGCCTTATCTGTCTGACATGAGCTGCTCGCAAATGCACTGCTCTGTGGGGGGGGGGGTCGACGGGGATCCAGGCGAAGGGGTGAAGGTGCTGGGAGGTAACCAATCAATTTCCAGAAATACCTGCACCCCACAAAAAGGCTAATAAAATTATATGACTGTATGCATATTTAATAAGCCCAAATATACTACAGTGATTTTTATATTCTCTCAACGAAGGAGCATTTTATCTCATCTCATTTCTGGCTCTCTTCGCACTCCCCCCTCCACCCCCCCCTGCCCAAACCCAGGGGAGATGCAGCAGGGAGCGTCTGCCGACACAGCGACGGGGTGAACAACATCCCAGTGTGCCGACACCCTTCCACACACACACAACACAATGGAGGCAGGAAGAGCGCGAGGACGGAAGCCCGGCAGTCGGTCCCCGGCGTCGCGTGGTGCGTGCTGCTCGCCGATTGTCCGCGCCGCTTCTGCGCTTTAAACGGGGGACAATAGGAGGCGAGACAAAACCCCACGGGGCCACGCGTTCCCACAGATACCGCCGCCCCTGTGCGTGTGTGTGACCCCCAGCCCACCAGGGGTCCACACAGGAAATGCAATGGAATTAAACAAATCGACCGGCGTTAGGATGACGGAACCCCAAAGAGACGGGCGGACCGGCTTGACGTTTTTAAGCTAGCCGGTTTTGGCGACCTCTCGCCGTCCGCAGGTCAGGCTGCCCCGCTCTCCTCTGTCACTTCTGCAACAACAAGGTTTTGCGCCAGCTCCTTCTAATTACATTAATTACACGGCTGCAAAGGGAAGCTGTCTGTGGCCTGACAGCCGGGTTTGTCTCTCTGACACATGCCGACTTTCTCCCACTTCTCCTTTCCCACCGCTGGTGTAACTGGAAGTGTGATTTGGGGTGGGGGGGGGAGTGCTGTCCAGCCCAGCTAAAGGCCAGCACATTGGCTCTCTGTCTCGAACGCCCACCCCCCCCGCCTGTCCTCCCCGGCCGCGCTCCGCTGGGCCTGCAGTGGGCCTCCATGGAAACCGCTGACGAGGACGGCCGCTCTTGGACCTTATCTCAGTCTGGCGGGCCTCTGCCAGCTCGGTCTTCTCTCCAGGATGTGTGGTCCGCTCTTCCACAATGGCTTCGTCTCTCAGGCCATTTCTCTCACGCGATTTACGGCCGTCTGGAGCCACAACGGGGACGCCGTGTCCAAGCGTCTCGTGCCGTCGTGGTGATCTCCCGCCTGCCTATTTCTGCACTGCCACCCACCGCCGATAAACACCATGACACCTTTATATAACAAGCTAAACAGGAGTCTCTGAAGCCGCCTTTGCCTTGTTGTTGCTCAGATCAGCAGGGGACGATGTGGGACACTAGTTCAACAGTCTCAGTACTACCCGGCTTGAACCCCCCCACCACACACAGCACGTCAACATACCCTCCACCCTCCCAGGAGACACACTCTTTAACAGTCCCCCCCCCCCCCCCACAGCAGCCCCTCCCCCTCCAACCAAGCACTTAAAGTCTTATGACTCTTGCTGGTTCCTGCCTGCCGCTCACAGTGCAGTTTAAATATTATACAAATATAATCCAACAAAAAAACGATTAAATAGATGAGAAATCCCTGAAATTCGATAATAGTTGGGGACTCTGTGTACCTTTCCAGAACATTCTGTATCATCCTGTCACTTAGCACATTATGACTGAAGACGTTCCACTTTTTTACGCAGTAGACACAAACAGGTCAGTAAATTGCCTATTATCATTCATAATGCATATGGGCTGAGAGCAGCTGCACCCGGAGTGGGCGGAGGGCCACCCCTGGACACGAGGCGGCCGGCTCTACCTTGAGGTGCTGGAGCTGTCGGCGGTCATCCTCCAGCTGCCTCCTTTTGTTCTCAATCTCTGTCTGTTTCTTCCTCTTCTCCTGCGAGATGATAATGGGACCTGAGGTCAGCCGGGGACGTGGACGGGGTGCGTGCAAGCGAAGACGCAGCTGGATGTGTTTCTGGTAGGCGGCCCGCGGGGTACTTACCTCGCAGTCAAGGACTGAGGCGCAAGAGAGACATGCTACAAATTCATCAAAATCAATCAGTGCACAGAACGGGACCCACAGGACACACTGGTGCCTCACATCACTGAAGTTTAGTCCCACCCTGCTGTGTGTGTGTGATCATGTACATATTACATTGCAGAAACCAAAAAAAAAAGACTGGTGAACAAGGCTCATGGAAACATATATTGTACCAGTCAAGTCTACATACACCCACTGAAAATCATTTGTTTTTCAATAAGACCCTACACGTACCTCGGGTTTTACTACTGTCTTGTGAAAAGGGAAAGAGATGCAATGCTGTGACAGATGACCTGGCCCCCACAATCCACCGATCCAAACCCTATAAAACTGGTTTGGGATCAGTTGGATTGAAAAGTAAGAGCAAGGTAGCCAACTTGTGTGCAGAACCGGTGGAAATTCCTCTAGGACCGTTGGAGAAGCATTCCAGGTGGCTACATCTGGAAGCTGGTTGAAAGAACGCCAAGAGTCTGCAATGCTGTCATTGAAGCAAAAAGGAGCTGTTTGGAAGGGTCTAAATAGAGATGGTGAACACTTCTCTTGGTCGGTGACATCTGATACTTTACCCCATCGCCTTGAGGTCTTTTTGTATAAGGTGAATAGCGTAGCATTAAAAGCAGGTGTGTCCAGACTTCTCACTGGTACTGTACATTCCAAGAAAAATAATAAGCAGAATGAAGAGAACTCTCAAAACACAGAACGAGGTCATTAAAATGCTGACGTTCCTATGTGCCCGTGTTGCTAAGCTATCTAATGTATCTTCAGTAGATAAAGCAGCATTGCAGCTCCAGGCTAAAGCAGACGATTGGGACCGACTTCCTCCGCCAGTATCAGCAGTCCCATCTGTTAGCTTTTGCTAATCAAATTCGCCTCATAAAGTACCTTGGCTAGGCATTAGGGAACAAACACCCAACGCACCGCTACGGAGTCAGCCGTGTCGGAACCAGTCCTTTACTCTGTTTTTTTTTTTTTTTTTTATCCATGTGCTCCATAAAACTTTAACTGGGTTTACTGGGGTGTGTTTCAGTAAGGATCTCTCAGTTTTGGTGCCAATTTAGACATGTACAGCACTACTGTGCTGTCTGGGTGTAGCAGCTGGGATCGGCTTTAAAACATAATAGGCTGGAACAAAGTGCAGAATGACGGGCAGGAAGGCGAAAAGTGGGAGAAGAGGGTGATTTAGGAATGAATGAGGAAGAACCGGCAGGGTTTCAGGGAGAGAGAAAGTAGTCAGAGGCTGGATGCAGACTGCATTAGCTGTGGCCAGGAAGATTGTTTCTGGAGGTGGGTGTGGTTGCGCAGCATTCTGTGTGTGTGTGTGTGTGTGTGTGTGCGTGTGTGTGTGTGTGTGTGTGCGTGTGCCTCTGGATCGATGGATGCATTAGAGAGCACATTACCTCTCTGTGCTCCTTTCCTCTGGAATGATCACAAACGAGCTGAAGGGGCGGGGGG